ACGCCGTCTTTGACGTTGGACGTGCGCCGCGATTCAGTTAGTTGCCATGGTGTTTATGGCATATTTTTGTTGTTTGTTGATATTTATCTATGAACATTTGTGAAAATGTTTAAATTATATGGGTTTATAACATATTAAAATATCAAATTCGCACCTGTTTTATTTAGCTTTTAATCAATCTTGTCACAGAATATTGGGACAACCCTCGTATTCTTTGTTTTTTTTTTTCAACTTCCTCTTTTCGTTTTAAAGCTAAAATACATGGCAAGTACATGGTTAATTGATTGCGAAATATACAAGAAGTTTTCTACAAAATTGTATGATTTATATCTCCTTAATATTGTTTGAGTTTGGTAAATGTTTATTTAAATTTCAAATGTGAATTTCTTCACCCATTTGCATGTTAAAACAATAATAAATAGATAATAAAATGTCTGTTGAAAGTTTGTTTTATATATCGCCCCATTCTCGCCCATTGTGAATTTTTCAAGTGCTACCTGCTTGACATTTAAAAAGGTGGTATGTAGGAGGACTATCCTGGAAGTTTGTGGATTGGAGCTAAGATAGGGTGAAAAAGAAAAAACGGAATTCCTAATGAAAACACAAAACGGTAAAATTGAAAATGTTGAAGGTTCAGTTTGGTTGAGCCTGTTTACGGACGATAGTTTTAAATGCAAGCTACCGTCCATAGCATTTGTCTTTGCTTAATGCAACATTTAAACTCTATGAAATATATACAAAAATTAAATAATGAATTATTGAATTGAACATCATCCGCCGCAGATGTGTCCGTGCAACATATCATAGAACCTGTGACACTTTCGTGGCATTGTTTGAGACGAAGTGGCGTGTGGTATTCAAGTCAAATCATTCCTGTGCATTTAACGAGGAAAACAATGAGTGAAACTTGATAATAAGAAATTTGAAAGGGGGTTAGATGTAATTAAAGCTTCCATTACTGATAACACGTCTAAAGCAAACTTACAAAAGAAGACAATAAATATATCCTTATAATGATTATACAGTATTCATGCAAGAAACCGAAACCATCCCACTAGATAAATGTCAAAAAGAAGAACTTACTTTACCACAAAGATAACAAAAAAGTTGTGCTGAGCGATCTTCATGGTCAGTAAAAAAACTTTTTAGATTGAATGTATGTGACGATGACGTTTTACTGCCTCTCCATAGGTACAAACAACGTTGATATGACGAAAAATTTAAAACAAAATGTTTTATTCAACAAACAAAGTAATAATTTTTTGATCATGGAACATTAGTATTAAATAGGTCTTAAATAATACGATGCATTCGGCTGTATGCTATAAAACAAAAAAGGTCACATTTTGAGCACGTTAGCAGTTCTAAAAAATGTTCCACAAAGTTGAACATCTCTACCGCTTATAATCCTGAGAAACTGTTCACAATCTGCATTTACGATATCTCGTATATTAAATTTTTTAAATGGGATTTCTATAAAAGTTGTCTAACTCGTTAGTCTTAAATTGTTACTAACAAATATGCCTCAGCACAATCCAGCTGACTTCAAGTTATTTTTTCAATGTGCTTCGCCAAAACTATGGGACACTTTAACTTTAAGTCTTAGAGAAACTGATACTTTGGACTCTTTCGAAAAATCTTTGAAATCACACTTGACTGTTTAAACTTGCATGCCAATTATAACTAGACAATGAATATAGTACTCGTAGTAAAACATGACGACATATGTTTTTAGAGTATATTCTTTTATAATGTTTATTTTATTTAATCTTAAGCGACAAAAATCTATGTTATTATGTATCTTGTGTCTATATATACCTAAGATCGCTTTTACGACTTATTTAAGGTTTCATGATTTTTATAATATCTTAATTTTCAATAACAATTTTATTTTTACCTGTTTTAAATATTCTGTTGTTTTTATATTGTATTTTTTTATGTATTTTATTTTGTTTCTTTGTGTTATTGTTTGTTAAATTAACATTATTGTACAACGCCTTTGAGTGTGTGAATATATAAAAAGAATCTGGAGTAATAATAACGTTGTTTAGGTTAGCTAACGCTTGCATTTTTCTATTTAAATGTTTTTCAATAATGTATTATCATGATATTTCGAAGTGTCATATATATAAATAATGTTTGACATTGCAGAAACAAAGGGTTTTATAAGGAAGATTGAAATGTTAAACATACCTGCATATATGTCACAATACAATTTATATAATGTATACAATGCCTTTGTTACAATCGTTGTTACGTATTTTGTTAGTGCACCAAAACTGTTAATATCATATAGTGACTTTCCAGCTTAACTGCTGGGGGAACACCCCAGATGCCTTTGGGAACCTTAGTAGAACACCGATTTTCGTAAGCAAATTTGAAATCATCCTCACATAAAAAAAACAACATAAGTCTTTGGCGGGATTCGAACCAAGAAAGATCAGGGGACATGGTTTAATACAAGCACTCTTAACAAATGTTTTTGGTCAGGGTTTTTAGCAGAATAACACTTATCAAATGACACACACTCTTTGTTACTTTGCTATTTTATCTGACGTGCTAACCTTTCTATATTATTTTGCAATAATCTAATATAGTCATTCTGCTGTTGCAATTTTCTAAAAAGGAAAACACGAGGCACATGAGAGTGAGTATAATAATTAAGTAATGTCCACATCACTGTTTAAAAGCCTTTCATGGAGTTTGCATTTCCCTGCAGTCATACAAAATTTGCACCTTACCCTAGTTTTGTTATGAAACAATTAGTACGTTACATGAAACAGTTTGGATCTTTGAAGTACATTGGCGTTAAATTTCTTCTTACATTTTTCTTTGGCACAAGATCAAAAGGAAATTTTCCTGAGCTACTCGTTTGTCATGAACATACACATAAGTTAGTCCACATTCATAAATACCAAGTTTCATGTAGGTTCTTTACTATGTTCATTTCTCAAACTCTCAACTTCAGTTAGCACAGTTCTCTCAACTTGTGTATCTCGGATCTCAGTAGGTCCTTCTTCTGTCTGATGAACTGTTGTACACCTGTGCGAACCACACTGACTTGCTTTGTCTCCATTGAAACAAGTAATGAATTACCCTCCCCATTGTTATAGAAAAGTTATTTTGTCATTATTTTCTGGATTTTTTTTTTAAAATTGGTGACATGTTTGTCAATTAAAACATGACTCTTTTCCCTGTTATGTGCAAATTTCACACATTTTCTTAAACTGTAAAAAGCAAATAATTTTAGTGTAATAAAAACGTGCTCATAATCAAAAGTTGACATTGAATAATCTGTTGTTTCTTATAAGTTCCGTTCGATGGGTACTGAAACAACATAACGATAGTTGTATTGTGAAATTTTTCAACAAAACAAGTTATCATTCAAAAATTATTCCAAATACACTTCTTTTTTGATTGACAAAACAGCTTCTTGATACAATGTGGCGTCGATTTTTAGGTATAAATATATATATAAAAATTCGCAAAAAAGGTAAATAGAAAAAAGAAGACGTTGCGAACCTCTGTATGTATATATCTCTGCATGGAGCTAACAGTCATGCCCACTTTTGTCTGATGTCATTACAAATTAGACATTCCATTGATTTTGGGGTTCTTATTCAAAGTAATATAAAACTAAAATCTCGTAACCAAAGAAAATTTCTGCGAGAGGCCTGTGTATCCTGGTCGCTTTTTGGTTTGACAATTTCTGTAGATAAAGTATGTCATCGTAAAATGCACAATTTGCTTGCGTAAACCATTTGCCTTTTCAGAGTCAACAATTTTTCGTAAAAAGCACCATTTTCTAGAGCCAACTGTTATGACCCATTTGTCCGATGCCGTTGCGTATTTATCATTGTATAAGTATATAGTTTTTTCTTTAACCAATGTAAAAAAGCCGTAAGAGGCCCGCGTGGCATGGTTGCTTACATCTTTTAGCTCTTATATAAACCTTTAAATAACTATTTTTACAAGTACAGGATATATTACCATGCTTCAGGGAGAAAAAATCGTCAAAAAAATCATGAAAATGTCCTAAACGAGCAAGTACACACCTTGAGGGAAATAGGTAGCATAGTGACCTGACAACTATATTCGATTATATTTTCAAGTTATGATTTTGGAATTTTAAATTTCTTTTGCGATGCATAAATCATTACATAATATTCATTTTATATAAGTTCAAAAGATATAGCATCTCTGAAGATTTTACCAATTAAAAGTGAAATATTTCTAATAACAGATGTTTAGTTATAATTTATTATTACATAAAATACAGTATAATAAGATGTAGATATAAACATGTGATGCCAATAATCAGCAATGTTTCACATTTAATTTCCAAAGATTTTTCAACAACAGCAATGTATGGTGATGAAATGATGCAAAAAATAAATAATCAAAATTGTGTATGAACGAATATTTTTTAATTTATATAAAATAATATATAATGAATAATATATAAGCTGAATACAATTAATTTACCAGCATATCATGCTTCTATAATATAATATAATAGAATGTAATGTAATGTAATAATGTAATGTAATATAATGTAATATAATATAATATATGTATCTACTGAAAAGATCATTGTTTAAAATCTGACAAAAAAGTTATCCCGAAGTTCCAGTATGAAAGAAATATGTTATAATAAAAGTATACGTGTATATCTCAAAAAGGGAATGGCGCATGCGCAAAAATATCGCTAAAAGGTTTAAACCTTACATAAATTAGCAAATTAATAAATTGTTCCGAAACATTTATGGTATTATTTTTCATGTATATTATTATATAGATACATTCAATGTTACACCTCTTTGAAGTATTGAATGTAAGATTACAGAAACAATATAATTTTACCGTTAATAAATCTTAAATTGGTGTTTTTCAACAAAAATAATTTTTCAGCCTTTATATGTATATTATAATATTTTCATGTTATCATGTAGATAAACTAGGACACTTAAGATGTTAAGATAATAGATGAATTTCGTGATTTATAAAAGTAGAAAACGGACCATCTGATGTTTTCACTCGACAAAGTGTCGTTTAACTTCTAACATTTAAAGACGTATACAGTATATAAGACAACACAAAAAGCTTTAGAATTTTGAGCAGATGAATTCTTATACCAAAGCGTTCCTAATATTGTTAGGAATACAAAATACATGTTGTTTCTTATTAGGTAAATTTTCTTATTATTGTTTGTAGTTATAATGTTTAACATGTAAGTTCATTATAAATGTTTCAGTGCAAATGAACTTATAATAATGAAATAAAAGACAAAAATCTGTCTCATATATGTTAATGATTTCATGAATATTATTTGGTAATTCTTTATACGGCTAGCACTATGGTATCGCAAGTATCTTTATAAGTGTTGATTTTGAAGACTTTGCCAGACTGAAGTACAACAAAATTATTGGTTTCTAGTTTGCATGCTTTTGGTTAATCAGGTTCCATGACCTGTTGTTTTTCAAGCATGCATGGAATCAGTAGGATTTTCTTTCCGGTATTGTTTTCGTTCTACATCCAAAATTGACATTTGAAACACCTTGTTGATTAACATCAATACGAAGTTTCGTGAAAGTACTTTTTCCAAAATTGAATTCTTAGCGCGATATCGTAAAATATGTAAAACATTCGACTGACTGATTCATAAATAATATACAATAATTGATGAATAGCCGTGTACATAATTACCTTTTTCTATAATTTATTAATAAAATATAGAATAAATAGAAATAAACGCCGAGGCAATTACACGTTCCGGTAGGAATTTCAATTTGGATCCTTTTCCGCGAAATTAAAATCTATGAGATTTCTTGTTCTCAGACTTAAACCGATGTGCAGAAGTGTAATACTGTAAATTAGAGAAAAACGGAATCCCTATAGAACGCCCAAAAAGGCCAAAAATGAAAATGTTGCAGGTCTGGTTTGATAGATTTTATTCTTACCTTTTTTAATAACAATGCAACGTGACGTCATTTCCGGTGTACAAACAACATTGTATCAAAGTTTGGAGACTGTGTCAAAATTAACTCGTATACCCATAAAGCACAATGCATTAACAAGAGGGCAGGTATAATTATCCCGCTCTCTAGCTACCGCACTGTCCATCGGAGATAAACATAGAGCATGCTCGTTGATTGGCTGAGGGATTTTTCTACACATTTTGTCTTTGATTGTTTAACACAGGCTAAATGATGTTTTTAATTATTTTCAATTTTATTTATTTTTATTTGCATTTCGTGAACAAAGAATAATACTTTTTTTCTCTTCTTTACATATATATTTTGCCATTTGCTATAGATACTGGTACAATTAGCGAACATAGAGACGGGTGGTCGGATTGGAGTTGTCAACAACAAGGAGATTTTTGCTTTAAAAGTCGGACATGTAATTCAACCGCTGATTTCAATTGCTCAAAAACAAGTGAAGTAACTGTTACAAACTGCCCTTGTGTTGCAGGTATAAATTCGGTTTAAATTTATCATTCGATAGAAAGGTAAAGTGTAGTTTTTTCCTGTTGTTGTTTGTTATTGTTTTTCTTTGGCTTGACAAATACATCCGTATAATTTGATTTTTAAGTTTTACGTCACACCCACACAGTATAGGTAATTTGGCGACGTTCCAGCTTTACTGTTGGAGGAAACCTCAGGTACCACTCCGTGCATTTTTCAGGCACGAACGGGCACCTGAGTAGAAACACCGACGTGCTGTAAGCAAGCTAGATAGCTTCCTCACATGAAAGAATCCAAATTCCCTGTCGGGAGTCGAACCCACAGCGGTGAGGGGCAAGTGGTTTGAAGTCAACGACCTTAACCATTCGGCCACGGATGCCCCATATCCGTATGAAACATCCGTATTAAACGTTAACGTAACTCTTATATCTTTAATACATTATTAATAGCTCCTCCTCTGCATGTTATGTCATTTTGTTAACTTATACTGTAAGCAAAAGAGATGAACCCAATGTTCTGCTGGACTTGTTGTGAAAAATTAGGTGAAACATATTTATCCCGGCGTACAAAATGAAATATATCTAAGGTAGAGAAATACGTGTCTATAAATAAGTATTCTGAAAACAAATTTTAACGAAATTGATTTATTTCATTCATGAACGGAATAATATCATATTTAATGAGTTAACACAATGTTAATTGTTAACATATGCGCTTGAATGTTAACAGTAATGTGTTCCGTTTAACCAAATACAATGTTTGCATTTTTGAAAACGACATTTTAAGGTTCTCACTAGGAAACAATTAAGACATACAAAATAGAGTGAAATAAGAATCCCAAAAGTTTATTTTTTCTTCATGTGCTTAACTTTAGCCGCGAGATCAGGATCATACCCTTGCGAGCCTTTCCTAGCACTTCGCACCTTTGTTGAGGGATTTTTCCCTACACCTTTTGACTATGATCGTTGAACAAAGACTAAATTTGTAATAATTTTCTTATTTGCATTTCGTAAACAAAGAATAATACGTTACGGTTATGTTTTGCTTGATTACATATATTTTTTACCATTTTCTATAGATACTGGTACAATTAGCGAACATAGAGACGGATGGTCGAATTGGAGTTGTCAACAACAAGGAGATTTTTGCTTTAAAAGTCGGACATGTAATTCAACCGCTGATTTCAACTGCTCAAAAACAAGTGAAGTAACTGTTACAAACTGCCCTTGTGTTGCAGGTATAAATTCGGTTTTAATTTATCATTCGATAGGAAGGTAAAGTGTAGTTTTTACCTGTTGTTGTTTGCTGTTTTTTTCTTTGACTTGACAAATACATCCGTATGATTTGATTTTTAAGTTTTACGTCACACCTACACAGTATAGGTCATTTGGCGACGTTCCAGCTTTACTGTTGGAGGAAACCTCAGGTACCCCTCCGTGCATTTTTCAGGCACGAACGGGCACCTGAGTAGAAACACCGACGTGCTTTAAGCTAGCTAGATAGCTTCCTCACATGAAAGAATCCAAATTCCCTGTCGGGAGTCGAACCCACAGCGGTGAGGGGCAAGTGGTTTGAAGTCAACGACCTTAACCATTCGGCCACGGATGCCCCATATCAGTATGAAACATCCGTATTAAACGTTAACGTAACTCTTATATCTTTAATACATTATTAATAGCTCCTCCCCTGCATGTTATGTCATTTTGTTAACTTATACTGTAAGCAAAAGAGATGAACCCAATGTTCTGCTGGACTTGTTGTGAAAAATTAGGTGAAACATATTTATCCCGGCGTACAAAATGAAATATATTTAAGGTAGAGAAATACGTGTTTATAAATAAGTATTCTGAAAACAAATTTTAACGAAATTGAATTATTTCATTCATGAACGTAATAATATCATATTAAATGAGTTAACACAATGTTAATTGTTAACATATGCGCTTGAATGTTAACAGTAATGTGTTTCGTTTAACCAAATAAAATGTTTGCATTTTTGAAAACGACATTTTAAGGTTCTCACTAGGAAACAATTAAGACATACAAATAGAGTGAAATAAGAATCCCAAAAGTTTATTTTTTCTTCATGTGCTTAACTTTAGCCGCGAGATCAGGATCATACCCTTGCGAGCCTTTCCTAGCACTTCGAACCTCTGTTGAGGGATTTTTCCCTACACTTTTTGTCTATGATCGTTGAACAAAGGCTAAATTTGTAATACTTTTCTTATTTGCATTTCGTAAACAAAGAATAATACGTTACGGTTATGTTTTGCTTGATTACATATATTTTTTACCATTTTCTATAGATACTGGTACAATTAGCGAACATAGAGACGGATGGTCGGATTGGAGTTGTCAACAACAAGGAGATTTTTGCTTTAAAAGTCGGACATGTAATTCAACCGCTGATTTCAACTGCTCAAAAACAAATGAAGTAACTGTTACAAACTGCCCTTGTGTTGCAGGTATAAATTCGGTTTTAATTTATCATTCGATAGGAAGGTAAAGTGTAGTTTTTACCTGTTGTTGTTTGCTGTTTTTTTCTTTGACTTGACAAATACATCCGTATGATTTGATTTTTAAGTTTTACGTCACACCTACACAGTATAGGTCATTTGGCGACGTTCCAGCTTTACTGTTGGAGGAAACCTCAGGTACCCCTCCGTGCATTTTTCAGGCACGAACGGGCACCTGAGTAGAAACACCGACGTGCTTTAAGCTAGCTAGATAGCTTCCTCACATGAAAGAATCCAAATTCCCTGTCGGGAGTCGAACCCACAGCGGTGAGGGGCAAGTGGTTTGAAGTCAACGACCTTAACCATTCGGCCACGGAGGCCCCATATCCGTATGAAACATCCGTATTAAACGTTAACGTAACTCTTATATCTTTAATACATTATTAATAGCTCCTCCTCGGCATGTTATGTCATTTTGTTAACTCATACTGTAAGCAAAAGAGATGAACCCAATGTTCTGCTGGACTTGTTGTGAAAAATTAGGTGAAACATATTTATCCCGGCGTACAAAATGAAATATATTAAAGGTAGAGAAATACGTGTCTATAAATAAGTATTCTGAAAACAAATTTTAACGAAATTGATTTATTTCATTCATGAACGGAATAATATCATATTAAATGAGTTAACACAATGTTAATTGTTAACATATGCGCTTGAATGTTAACAGTAATGTGTTCCGTTTAACCAAATAAAATGTTTGCATTTTTGAAAACGACATTTTAAGGTTCTCACTAAGAAACAATTAAGACATACAAAATAGAGTGAAATAAGAATCCCAAAAGTTTATTTTTTCTTCATGTGCTTAACTTTAGCCGCGAGATCAGGATCATACCCTTGCGAGCCTTTCCTTGCACTTCGCACCTCTGTTGAGGGATTTTTTCCTACACTTTTTGTCTATGATCGTTGAACAAAGGCTAAATTTGTCATAATTTTCTTATTTGCATTTCGTAAACAAAGAATAATACGTTTATGTTATGTTTTGCTTGATTACATATATTTTTACCATTTTATATAGACACTAGTACAATTAGCGAACATAGAGACGGATGGTCGGATTGGAGTTGTCAGCAACAGGGAGGTTATTGCTTTAAAAGTCGGACATGCAATTCAACCGCTGATTTCAATTGCTCAAAAACAAATGAAGTAACTGTTACAACCTGCCCTTGTGTTGCAGGTATAAATTCGTTCTTAAATTATCACCCGCTTCATAGTTAAGTTGAGTGTTTGTTTTTTTCTCCTGTTGTTTTTTCTTTTGTCTTGAAAATACATGTGTATGAAACGTTAACGTAACTCTTATATCATTAATAGATTATTAATAGCTCCTCCCCTGCATGTTATGTCTTTGTGTTAACTTTTACTGTAAGCTTAAGACATGAACCCAATGTTCTGCTGGACACGCTGTAAAAATTTGATGAAACATATTTATCCCGTACAAAATGAAATCTATTTAAGGTGGAAACATACTTGTCTACAAATGGGTATCATGAAAACATTTTTTTTTACGAAATTTATTTATTTTATTCATGAACGAAATAATTACATAGTGATAGAATTAACAAAACGTTTATTGTTACAATATGTGCTAATATGTTAACAGTAACATATTACGATGTTCCGTTCAACCAAATAGATTTTTTTCTATTTTCTAAAGCGATATTTGAAATAAAATCTCTTTTCATTAAAAGTTCTCGTTAGGAAACAGTTAAGACATTAAATGGTTATTTCTTTCGTATCTTTAACTTTACGCACAAGATCAGCATCATACCCGAGTCTGTTCTAGCACTTTGTACCTCTTTTGAAGATCTCGACAAGAGTTTATTGCACACACTAAATATACTGTCCAAGGTCATCGTATGTGACAAAAATCAAGCTGTAAGAAGTGCATACATGATTAAGTGCATAAGAAAGATAATTTCTACAAAATTCCTGAATGCAATTCCCCTGCCCCCATCCCATTTCCTCACACACTCTGCTGACTTACCGTATGTTGTATTTAAATGTTATGCCATGTGAATTATTTTTGAATTTAAATTTTATGCCATGTGAACATGTGTACACACATTAATAATTAAATAAGCGTCAATAATTAAATGATACAATTTTATTCTAAAGGTTTTAGTTGCAAAGTTTATAGATGTATTCAGATTATCTTTCAAAGACTTTTATTATACCCTTCAGAAAGAATAAGTGTTTGTTTGTTTGTTTGATTAGGTTTTACGTCACATCGACACAGTATATGTCATATCGCGTTGTTCCAGCTTTACTGGTGGAGGAAGACTTCAGGTGCCCCTCCGTGCATTGTTTTAGGCACAATCGGGCTCCTGAGTAGAACCACCGACTTTCCGTAAGCTAGCTGGATAACTTCCTCACATGAAAGAATTCATGTCCCTGTCGGGATTCGAACCCACAGCGGTGAGGGGTGAGTGGTTTGAAGTCAACGACCGTAACCACTTGGCCACGGACGCCCCAAGAATACGTGTAGAATGGCAGGTTTCACATTTATGTTTAGGTTATCAGAAGATTTCAGTCAGAGTTTGACCTGCAGACTAACTTAATAGCTTATGTAAAGTCAGATAAACTAACAAAACTTGTTTATCCTTCAACTGCTATATCACACTTGCCATATATTAATGTTCGTGCAACACAAGTGTCAGTGACACGGACACTATAAAGGTCATTTTGCATCTTTGCAACGATATTCGAAATCCGGGTTATAGTATTGACAATAAATCTAAGGGACAAGCTGTTAAACCGCGCCTGCACTTTCGTGAAAATAATATCACAATGCACATGCTTTTTACATAAAGTTGTTATTAAATACAAATATAACAACATATTAGTTTACTTGATTTTTACGAATCAAAATAAAACTAATTAACACAACACAACTGCTAATAATAACAAAAAGCTACTTCCATAAGCCAAAATAAAAAGCATTTCATAAGAGACGACACCGCTCACCGGTGTCGCCAATAATTTTATCACATGAAAAGATCCAAGTCGCTTACGGGGATTTAACCCCACCACTAGCTGTCAGGGACAAACAGTTCAAAGATATCGACCTCAACCTCCTAGTCACTGCCTCCACATGTGCAACGTGAAAACAAAACAAAAGAAATCAAACTTTTCATCATTTATTTATAGACAGTATAAAGTTTTATCTTCAAATTAAAATCGGTCGATGTCGCTTTCACGGAGATTTGTGAAGATTAAGGTAAAGCATGAACAAATAATTAAATATATATTTTTGTTTGCAGAGTGGTCGCCTTGGGGTGGATGGACCTGTCACAAAGACCAAGGTGTATGTTTACAATTACGCACTAGATCTTGTGTAAGCGGATTTAAAGAAAGTGATTGTCTGTCGCTCCAAGGGGAACACTTTCAAGAGACTTCATGTGACGAGTCTTGCAACAGTAAGTTGCTGTTTGTGTGATAATATTATGCAAACCACTTTTTTGGAAGCTACTCTAAAGACCGTATTCTTTCTTTTTGGTTATCAAAACAAGCGTTATTTTTTCCAAAGAACCATTTGTTTATTTGTTCTAAATGGAATTTTTGTCTGAAAAGATTCAAGTGTCTTTCCTGACTTTGGGATATTCTCTTGTAACAAAGTAAATTTGTTTAGAATTTGTTAAATGAAAGCTTTGTCTTTAAAGAAACATGACGAGCAGATACATTTCCTTACTTCGAGTTACTCATATTGTAGTTTTTTAAAACTATAATTAATGTTATTCTTTTTCTGATAAAATCAGAATGCCTTTCCTTACCTTGGCTTATACATTTAATAACTTACTAATTAAGTGGATTGTTTTTACATATATATCATGGTAATAAATTTAACACATGCTCCTCAAAACTCATTTTCATCTACAACATGAACTACTATATGAACAACATAGGTACCAATAGAAAATACAAGTATGGCGTCAGTTAATTCAAGGTCATATACACCATCAATTACAGACGCAACTACCATAACCCCCATGGCGTCAAAAGGGTCTAGTCAGAAACCCCATTCTACATTTGCTGCAGCTACATAAATGTCGAAGCCTGCACCTACACAGTCGGCCCTTTAGGCATCAACTCGATCAACTGTGCATGCTTCATTCATTATGGCAGAATATCATACACTTACTCCAACAACATGACAACTAGTAAACTGCTTAGTAAAAGTAAACCAACAGGAGTGTCGTCTACTGCTTATCTATACTGAATTGAGTAGACGAAATGGGAATGCAAAAAATCACTGTATGTGTGAATTCTAGCACACAAAATTGCTCCACGTACAAAACCAATGACTGCGAGAAGAAACTTGGAGGGGAACACGTTTTACGGGACCCTTTAAGAAGAAGGAAACATGTAAATGAAAAAAGCATTATACCATAATATGAAACCTTTGTTGTGTGTACTAACACATAGTATGCACTTAAACTGCCTTTTTTTGCACAAAAAATAATACATTGAGGTTATGTTTTGCTTGATAACATATATCTTTTACCATTTGCTATAGATACTGGTACAATAAGCGAACATAGAGACGGATGGTCGGATTGGAGATGTCAGCAACAAGGAGAGTTTTGCTTCAAAAGTCGGACATGCAATTCAACCGCTGATTTCAATTGCTCAAAAACAAGTGAAGTAACTGTTACAAACTGCCCTTGTGATGCGGGTATAAATTCGTTTTTAAATTATCATTCGATTCATAGTAAGGTTGAGTGTAGTTACTGTAACAAACTGCCCTTGTTCTTCAGGTAAAACATCGTTTTTGAATTATACATGAACGGAATACCATCGTAGTGATAGAGCTAACAAAACGTTTATTGTTAAAATATGCGCTGCTTATTTAATTTACTGGCTTCAATAGACTACATGGGAATGCAGCAATTTTACTGTATGAGTGATGTCACATACATGGAATTACTCTACGAACAAAAGCCATGCTTTTTAGGGAAAAAACTTGGACATGAACACGTTTATGTGGGACATTTTAAGAAATCAATATGAAAAAGAAGAAAAAATGTAAACGTAAAAAGGGCATTATAACATGATACAAACCATGTTTGTATGTACTAAAGAATAATATATTAAGGTAATGTTTTATCTTCATGTATATTTTACAATTTTTCCTAGATACTGATACAATTAGCGAACATAGAGACGGATGGTCGGATTGGAGTTGTAAGAAACAAGGAGATTTTTGCTTTAAAAGTCGGACATGTAATTCAACCGCTGATTTCAATTGCTCAAAAACAAGTGAAGTAACTGTTACAAACTGCCCTTGTGATGCGGGTATAAATTCGTTTTTAAATTATCATTCGATTCATAGTAAGGTTGAGTGTAGTTTTTTTTCCTGTTGTTGTTTTTTTGTCTTGACAAATACATGCGTATGAAACGTTAACGTAACTCTTATATATTAATAGAATATTAATAGCCCATCCCCTGCATGTTATGTCTTTGTGTTAACTTTAACTGTAAGCAAAAGAGATGAACCCAATGTTCTGCTTGACTTTCTGTAAAAAGATTTGGTGAAACTTATTTATCCCGAACAAAATGAAAACTATTTAAGGTGGAAACATACGTGTCTATTTCAGATGAAAACATCAATTCTATGTGTGTTCTGATGACGTTGTTCACTTGTAATTAGCATTAATAATACCTGTTGTTTTTGTTTCTTATTTCAGGACATGATTTTGTTTGACCTTTATACTGATCGTACTCCAAGTACAATTAATATACTTACCAGTCCCGTTTTGTTTTAGACAAATTCGACAAGGTAGTACTATGTCGTTGATATATATATCAAAATACTTTCATGTTTCAAAATCACTTTCATTTCATACGCTATCTCATATATCATCATATTTTCGATTCCTTTTATCTTTAGGTTTGGAAATGTCGGTGTCGTAGGGCGAATTGTAAATTGAAATGAGTTATGTGTTTGAATTGATAAATATATCAAATAGATAAATTATTGAATAAATCATGCGTGTTGTTTTTTTTATTTTCAATTCCCTTTATTATTACAATTGTTTAAACAGTCCAATAAACCTTTCCTGTATGCCTATACAATATCCAAACTATCCTTCCCAATCTATACTTTTTCTTTTTTCATAGCATATTACATAACAATAAATCGCTTTCTTTCCAACCTGTGATTGTTTTCATTGTACATGAATGCAATCATTCATTGCATTCGCCATTAACTGTGTATTGTACCCAGACGTGTTTTCTTAACTATTAGATAAATATTGTTTATATATCTTTGATATATCTTTTATTTCGCAGTTCCCAATCCATTCCAATGGACCTATGCTTGTCCATCAATTATTAAAGAAGGATTGTTTTCATGGAGCAGCTTATCAGCTGCGGTAAAATATAGCTCTACCGACGAGCGAATCCGTTACATTTTCATTATCAAATTTTCGTGTAATCATGAAAAAACTAGGGCACATTAGCGTCGTTCATTTAAGATATTAAGATAATAAAATTTCAACAATTTATAAAATTATTTTACGGAACCATATGATGTTTTCACGCGACACAGTGTCACTTTTATTTTCAATTTGAAATCTTAAACACGAAAAAGGAGTTAAGAGCACATATAAAAGTTCATAACTTCAACCAGATGAATTCTAATATGAAACCACATCTGTACCTGATACTGTTAGGAATACACACTGCATGCTGCTTTTTATTAGGTAAATTTTATTACATTTATTTGATAGTTATAAGACGACTGTTTTCATTTCGAATTTATTTGTTTTTGTGTTATTTGAAATTTTATTTATTTTATTTTTATTTCAACGAGTAAGCTTGAAAAACAGGCTTTTCACTCGTGGCTACGTCTTAATCAAATTTGTTTTTATTGTATGCTTTGATACAAGTTTAAATGAAATTTCACAATATTAACTTATATCAAAATCTGTTTGGAAGCCCTAAATTTTAGACGAGTTTGTCATGAATGCATGGAGACCTGAGTTAAAATGAGTTCACAAATCAGCCTTAAAAGGTGATGACACTATTTATTTTATACACAAAGTATTAATAATCTCTTATTTGAATGATTTACAGAAATTTTAAACAGAAAGAAAAAATACATCAGGCCGAGTTTATTTCCCTTATTTTACGCGTAAGTTTGATAGGGGACTATGCTTTAAAATGTAAGCGAGCACCATTTTTAACGTTGTGATTGTCACGGATTCCGAAATAATACATTGGTTTGATTCCGAGGGAGTACTTGAATATGTTAATTCATTAGAATGAAAACTCATTTGATAATTTTAACAGACAATAAATAATTGTGTATTATTCTAATGCATTACCTCTGCTTTGAAGAGTAAATAAATAGGCTATAATTACTGTTTAGTGCATTGAAACATAGGGTCGTGGGTTCAAGTCTCTGATGGGTCAACATTTTTTTTTCTCTTTTGTTTGTTCTTTTATCATTATGTTCTTGTATCTCTTATTTATTTTGGACAGAAAAAACATGTGTTTAATTTTAATTCAAGAACTTTATATAGGGATTGACTAAATAATTCTAAATCTTATAACAAATACGGTTCTTGGTATTATCAAAGTCAAATAAGATCAAAACTACACGTAAAAGTATTTGATATTTTATAAGATAAACAAATAACCTTGTGATAAATTTGTTTTGTTTGATATGGTTTAACGCCACACCGACACAGTATATGTCATATGGCGACGTTCCAGTTTTATTTGTGGATGAAGACCTCAGGTGCCCTTTCGTGAATTATCCTTGTGATAGAAAAATAGGAAAAACTGAGAATAGTCATTTTCATTTTGGTCAACTTTAGGGATTGTTTTGAATGGTCAAACACATGATAAAAAATGTGTGGGGTAAGGTAGGACTTTTATGCATATTTTTGAATTTTGAATAGTAAAAATCATGTGTTATTTTGTGCGGATTGTTAGCTAAATGTTAGCATTTGTTTCTTAGCGATTATTTAATGAGAAACGTTTTTTTTTCATAAAGCTTATATTGTAAATTGTTTAAACAAAATATATGATGAAACAAAATTTGTGTGGGATGAACTACTCATTTTCTTCCTTAGCCCCTAACCGCTGTAGGTCCGATACTCAGTCGGTACGCCGAACTATTCATGCGAGGAAGCTTGTCCCCGCCACGTAATAAATAAGAAAATAATTTTCCCTTTTATGCCACTTATGATACTTTCTTCTTGTTGCTTAGAATATTTCTTAAATCATTTATAAAACTTTAAGCATCGGAAGGAAAAGTGACACATTTAATAGCGATATGCATGGACTCGCAGCATTTGTGTTTGGGTTCTGAATACTGCACTGATAAAAAATTTCATTGTGACATGCAGAACAGGGATATTCTTTATGTTAATATATGTCTCCTATGCAGAGGCAGGACGATTATGATTGGCCGCAAGTGACCTAAAAACGGTATAATAAATACAGAAAACAGACAAATGTGCTTCGAGAGTCTTGAACACATCCGTCTAATTTCCAATTTGTCGCAAATATTAATGTTTACGAGCACATCGGTCACACTTCGTGAGACAAATGTGCTCCGAGACAAATAAGCTCCTACATTGCTGCCCCAAAGGTAGACGCTATATAATCACATCACTCATTAAGGCTGAGCCACCTTTAAAACTATTTCCATGACTCCATTATTAATATAGATAGAACTATTAGCCAGAAGAGACTGGGTATTTGCTTATAATGGAATGGGCAGTCAAATTAAAGCCATTAATGTTAAAAGGGTTGACCTTGGATAGTCCCAGTGAAGAGTGAAATATGACTCTCATCACTTACAAGTATATTTGATTTATTTTCAGTAAAATATTTAGCTCGGTGTTCATAATCAGTTGTCAAGTATCATGGCTTTGATTTAGCATAAATAGTATTTTTATTTCCCCTGAAACCAACAAGTAATAATTTATGTAGATTTCTGTAGATTTTTATTATGAAATCTTAACTGACAAACCATATTTAAATGAATGAATGTAAAATTCTTAGTCGCAACAACTAGAAAAAAACAAGTTTAAGGTATATAAAGCCAGTCAAAAAATAATATTGAAAATTTGACTAATTATAAATATCATTCCTTGACCTCGATCCATTTGATGAACTACTTTAATTAACTAGTAAATCTTTTATCATATTTTATTCATTATTATAAAATATATATTTTCATATCTGTATACAGCAAAACAGTCAGTAATGATTAAGATAGACAGATAAACAATTTAGTAAACATGCGTAACATCTTTTAAAATGGACGAAAACTGAAACCCAAAAGAAATTGCCATGAACAGCATAACTGTAAAATGCTACAGGCTCTGTTTGATTAGGCCAATAAGAAGTTAGTGGTAATAATTGTGGGTCAACAATTAATCAAATGTTTAAATGATATCGTTTTCCAGGGATGTTTCTGTTATAATTTACTTTTAATAATGGGTCATTAACACTGAATTTGGAATGTTTCTATGACTTCTATGCTCAAAAATGTTACATATAGTATATGAAAGGCCATCAGTGTCACCTCATAATAGCCAATTGCATGTTGTAGCTCTTGCGAAGCAGGAGACAGACGCAATTATAATCATTACTTCAGCAAAACACATTTCTATTCAAGGGACATAACTTTGCTAAAAATCCTTAAACCAGGAAACACATGCAATATGCGCAAGTTTTCGAGCTACTGATCAATCCTGTTAAGTTCCAGTGAAATTGCAATTAATGGTATAAGATATGTAATTTGTACAAATTTTAAAAAAATCATTAAAGAGACATAATTCTGACAAAAATAAACATTCATCCCAACAATGTTGATGAGATGTACAACAAGACATATAGTGCATAAAAAAGGGTGAATTGTGCACCTGTTGTGAAAAGCATGAAACTTGGCACAGTTGTAAGTTGATTCATTCCTTTCGATTAAAGCCTGGGATCCGGGTTGTGCGAATCCAATATTGCCGCCAAAATCCAAGATGGCCGCCATTTATTAAAATTTTCAGAATAGTTTAGTATTTCAGCTTTAGTCTTAACTAGAACAGTATGAACTAGCATCAGTTTATTAAATTACACATTAATTTATATTCAAGTCTCGAATTCAGGTTGTGCAAATCCAAGATGGCCACCAAAATCCAAGATGGCCGCCATACATTATTTTTATCAGAATATTAAGTTTTTATGTTGTACTCGTAGCGTAGTCATGACAGGTCAGTATGAAATAGCACCACTTTACTATATTACACATTTATTTAAATTCAAGCCTTGGATCTAGGTTGGGCAAATCCAAGATGGCTTCCAAAATCTAAGATGACCGCCATATCAAAATTTTCAGAATGTTATACATGTAGTTTTTTTAGCTGTTATCGTCATTACAGAGCAGTATGTAACAGTATCGATTTATAATTATTGAATAACCTATTTTTTTATATTCAACCCTCTGATCTAGGTTTTGCAAATCCAACATGGCGGACAAAATCAAAGATGGCCGAGATATCAAATTTTTCAGATAAGTTTTGTTTTTCAGCTGTTATCATTTTCAGATAAGTATAAAATAGCACAAATACATTATATTACATGCTTGTTAAACATATCAGCATGATGATAATCTATTAGAAATGAAATATCAACATGGCTGCCAAAGCTGATAATGGCCGTAAAACCTTATATAATTATGAAAACCTTTTTAAAATATCCATTTCATTTTTATGCCCCCACAAAGTGGGAGCATATAGCGTTGCACTTGTCCGTCCGTCTGTCCGTCCGTCCGTCTGTACGTCTGTCCGTACGTCCCGAAATCTTGTGAACGCAACTCCTCTTAAACCGGATGGCAGATTTTGCTTAAACTTACAGGGATTAACAACCTTAATGTGTAGATGGTAGTAAAGGAAGGAATTTTCGCTGCGACCGAATTTAACAGAATTATGGCCCTTTGTTTTTTTTAACTATATACTATGTAGAAATTTTGTGAATGCAACTCCTCTTAAACCGGATGGCAGATTTTGCTTAAACTTACAGGGAAGAACAACTTAAATGTGTAGATGGTAGTAATGGAAGGAATTTTTGCTGCAATCAAATTTAACAGAATTATGGCCCTTTGTTAATTTTTTCACTATATACCATAAAGAAATTTTGTGAACGCAACTCCTCTTAAACTGGATGGCAGATTTTGCTTAAACTTACAGGGAAGAACAACCTTAATGTGTAGATGGTAGTAAAGGAAGGAATTTTTGCTGTGACCAAATTTTACAGAATTATGGCCCTTTGTTGATTTTAAGTTTTCAACTTGTGGCACATGTAGTCTAAAAATGTTTGACCTAGAGTCATAAGATTGACAGAACAGTGGCGTGTGGGGGCATCCGTGTCCTATGGACACATTTCTAGTTCATACTGAAACATGCTCACAATTAAACTGTCTCAGATTTATTTATTTATTTGGTTTTTGAACACAATCAAGTTCTATATACATGTATAACCATCTCATAATTTTATTACATGCCCTTTTGTAAGAATCTCTTTGCTAATTTAGGTAATTTTAAAGGCATGTACGTTGTAATCAAACTAAGGAGTGCATTATTCCAATGGTTTAATATGAAGCTATTTCAATGATTAAGTAGGTAGCTGATCTCCTATTGGATTATTGTGCAGAAGTTAAAGTAATAGAAAGAGCATCAAAACACGAGGCTATCTGATTTGTACGAGGGGATGTAGCCCCCGAATATAAATCAGATTGCCGAGTGTTTTGGTGTATTTCAACATTTACATCGGGTCGTGTTCATACTAAATAAAGCAAGGTACTGTTTTAAAGTGTTATCAACTAAAACTGATCAGTAAAAACAAGTAAAATTTAGTCATTATCCATAATTAACACCCTATGATCTAGTACAGAATGATGCTCAAGTTAAGGTCAATTAAGTTTTCACTTCAGTGTTGTTTTATTTATCTGGTCCTTCGGGATCATTGATGCCAGCGCTATTAAGTGTTCAGAATTGAGTACCGCTCGAGCCTATGCTATAGGGCATAAAGAATGTTGCACTTTTTCATTATGCCTCATGTACAGATTCAATCAAACCGAGTCTGCAATTCTCTTGTATTTTTTGTTATTAATGCTTCCGAGGGATCACTTTGTTTCCAGATTTTTATTATTATTGTGATTACAGAAACTATCAAAATAAAAACAAAAAAAAAGTTGAACAAATGACAAGCTACATTGATTTTCAACAACCAATGAAAAGAATAGGCATGATTTCACTAGTTTTTGTGTACTGTACTTTTATGACAATTGTGGAAAGAAGTAAACAAAGGAAAACGATTTTATCTAAGTAAACGACGACAACAGGATTAAGATTTATTACTTTCTTCAGTTCTTTTAAATGTTTCTGAAATAAAAATAACTGAGGTGGAAAAAGCAACGATTTGTAATACATGTGTATGAAATCTGGCTTTTCAACTGCAATAATATATAAAAGGAAGAAATTAACATGAAAGTTAAGAGTGTTGCCCCTTGAACGCAGACCTGAAATTCGCAGTAGTCAGAAAGTTAGTTATAAATCTTACAGACGGAATCTCATATCAAAATAAAAATTATTATCAAATATAAAGAGCTGTAAAGTCTAAATTTGATATCATATTAAGTCAAGACTGACTAATGTTAATAATACCAAACACTTCTAGTTTGATTACCATAAATTCCAAGATATCCTTTTTGTTCAACATTTTTCTCTGATTTTTCTAATTTATTCACAAGACCTTGCCAAAATATTGACATAATAAGAGTAATATTCCGTTATATATGACACAAAATATGAAAAAAAAACTTGCATCTGCAGTAAGACGATCACAAAATGCTACAAACCAAATTTATTTTAAAAAATTGAGAGACAGGATTTCGAAGAACCCCTTACCACCTCCAACACTGTCTTAGTATAATTCATACTGAACATTTGGTTCGGATAAGCTAAGGAATTGTGTGCACACAATAGAGGATTAATACACTCTCTTCGTGCATTAATAGCCCTCATCCTCCGGGCTCAAGATTTAATTTCTGCAGATGTTGATGCACAAAAACGTGTATAAGAGTCATTCTTGTATAAAAGTAGACGACTGATTTGGTAATTCTACTGTATGTTGTTTTCCATATAACGAAACCGGTTTCGTATTGATTTTAACTCACGTATGTGTTTTGGTTTGATAATAAGGTAACTCCCGGACTGTCATTGCAATCAGCAGTTTTGTATTGTGTCAGAGTCACGCAAATTAACAGGAAATGATAAAGTGCTTGACTGTTCTCATTGATTGATAGCTAAACAAGAACCTGGGTAATGAAAAATTCTCTATATTTAAAAGGGCCATAATTCTGTCAAAATCCATGATAGAGTTATTGGCCTTTAACATTGACTTTCTATTATGATCACAAATAAATGTATGAGATCTTTACCTATTCCATTATGTACAATGTCGCTGCCTATTATTCGAAATATCTTGTCAAATAATGTGCTCCCATGGTTTAATCCATAAATGCAAGTTTTTTTTTCTATGTGAATGAACACCTGTGTGTGCAGGTTTTATGCAGGAATGCCAGTTTATTAGTGTGTTATATGTTTGAAAGTATTGATCACATGAATTATCTTTATCATAGAAATTTGTCAAAAAATCTCATTTAATGGCGGCCATCTTGGATTTTGAAGCCATATTGAATTTCTTCCGATGCTACTTAAGTATTTTTCCAACAAGTTACTATAATTGACCTTAAATGTCAATTTTTTTCATTTTCATGCTATAAAAAAACTAAATTTTGTCATGTCCCATGTATATTGTATATTTTGGCGGCCATCTTGAATTTTGGCGGCCATCTTAGATTTTTAAAAAGTGGACCCCAGGCTGAAATAAATTGAAATACGATTTCCTGCCACCGTGCCAAGTTTCATGCTTTTCACAGAAGGTGCACAATCATTTCACCGATTTCTTGGACTAATAGTATAGAAAACTCCTGTAAAGATTAGATGAAATTGCACCAGTAGTATCTGAATAGTAGTCCAACAAGTAGCTGGTAACACAAAAATAACTTATTTTACTGAAGGACCATAACTCCGTTTAAATCATTCAAACGGAAAACCTGTGATATATGTGCAAGCACTTCAGCTACCAATCAACCATATAAAGTTTCAATGAAATTACATCAGTGGTATTAGAGGAGAATTCCTGGCAAACTTTCATTTTATTCAAGCGTAATAACTAAATAAACCAAAAATAACTAAATGGCAAAAAATGGGGAATATACGCGAGTAATTGAGCTACCAATCAATCCTGTAAAATTTAACTGAACTTGCATTAGTAGTATAAGAGAAGTAGGGCATTTTTTGAAAATGGAAAATACTTAAAGGGCTATAACTTTTACAAACAAAATATTGAACTAAAAAGACCGACGATGTGCACAGCTAGAGTTGGTACTTATCATCCATGTAAAGTTTGGATGCAATTGCACAAGTAGTTTCTAAGAAGTAGTCCGGACAAGTTGGCAACACACAAAAAACACCTTTTTTATTCAAGGACCATGTCACCACAAATGAATCTTTCAAACGAAAAACCCGTGTAATATGCGCAAGTTGTTATACAGATCAATTCTGAAAAAGTTCCTTGAAATTGCTGCAGTGTTATAAGAGGAGTAGTCCGAACAAACTTTAAAAATAAAAGCCATTAAAGGGCCATAACTCTGACAAAAATCATTTGTACTGGAAAAAGCCGACAATATACACAACATGGCATTATTTTATTTATTTATGTAAAGTCTGGAAGGCATTGTACCAGTTCTTTCTGATGAGTAGTCCGGACAAGGTAATGACAGACGGACTGGCAGACAGACGACGGAGAATTGGTCCCTATATGTCGCCACTACGCCGAAGAGGCGACAAAATTAATTAATGACATAGTTGATCTGTCTAGGTTTCACTGTTTTAATTTATTTTTGGATTTGCTTTATACATGGATAAAAGAAAACATGAGATTTACTACTAAATATTTCAGTAGCATTTCATATGATACTATTATTACCTAATAATTATAATAAATATCAATAAAACGTGTTTATTTCAACATCAAACATTTATAGTAAACTTATGTTACGGAAAAATGAAATTTGAAATATATTTTTATTTTTCTTATTTCTTTCTATTCCTTTATGATAAAGATATATATTGAACTTTAAGGTTACCACAAACAAAACAATCCTAAAAACTGTCTAGTAAATAATGGGGAGTGCCCTTGAAAGTGCACTGGAGATGCATATTAAAGTGCACTAGAGGTGCACATTTTCTGCACAAGAAGGCAATATATTTTAGGCCTAAACTATTTATTGTTAAAACATCATTTGAAAGTAAACATACAGAGTAGACAAGAAATTCAAATAAAAACATGCTGCTTACATAATGTGGTAGATAAAATTAAATTATCGTGAAGTATATGGGATTTTTACATGAATAATAATATAATACTTTCATAACATAACAGTGAAAAAATAAGCCGGACGATATCAGTATGTAAAGGAGAAGAAAATACATGTATCTTAAATAAGTGGAAATATCCTCAGAAACAGACATCTTCGTGAGTCAAGTGTAATGAGAGGAACATAACCATCTGTACAAATCATTTGAAAATTTCGTATGATTGATAGAAATATTTTTGAATCAAGAAATTTCTGACGTCATGTTTTTCTGACGTCATAAATGAGAGCGCATGTTGTTTTGCGACAAAATCAGTCGAAATTATAAAAAAACCTAAAAATGTAAGGGGGAAATGTGTTTCTTTTGTAATATCAAACTATACTTTACTCATAAACCAATGTCACTTGTGAAAATATTATATCTGGAAGACACTCTGTGAAATATATTTCAATCTAACATGCAAAACAAACAAATATTCTCTATATATTTAGGCGAGTGCTGGGAAAATCATTTCGAACAAGCCCTCATATGATTCATATTGTACAATGTAGGATCAACGTATGGGTTTTTGGACACACGAAATGTTATTGTTATCTGGATAAAAATAATAAAATTATTACATTAATCGAGGGGCAAAAGTGTAATGCTGTAAAACATGCTTACACTTGTGTAAAACCAATTTAACGTGACGTCATTTCGATATTCAAAAAGTATTAAAGCACGCTTGTGTTGGTAATTTAGCGTTTAATGATTTGTTTATATTCTTTTTTGTCTGAAATAGAAGGAGAGATATTTGTGAAGAAAAACGCATAACGTAAATAGGTCTTAGTAGGTTATTTAAAAATCTTCACTGGTGCATTGTGCGAATGGAATTGTTTATTTTAAAATTACACTAATTGCAGATAGTTCTCAAGGAAGCGGTCATATTGGCGGATGGACGGATTGGAGTTGTGAGAAACAAGGAGAATTTTGCTTTAAAAGTCGCAAATGTCATCCAACTGTTAATTTCAATTGCACAAAGACAAGTGAAATAAATATTACAAGCTGCCCTTGTGTTGCAGGTATAAATTCTTTGTCGTCGCTAATGACGTCATGTAATAATGCCATATTTTTCCTTTTTGTTTTTTATGATTTCTTTATATCCTGAGTATGGCTTGTCATCCATAATGTAGGTATATTTGAGGGAATTGCAAGAATTTGCGGTCGACTTTTTATGTTTCACTACTTATTAAATCTCGCGGTATCGGAGCGACGTTGTTCAAATATCGCTACTTTATCTCTTAAACATAAAGTGCGTAGAAAGAGATTAACCAAATGTTTTGCATATCAGCATTGGTCCAAAGAGGACACCGTAATGTTGTTATACGGATATCAACTATTGAAAGCCTACCGATATAACATATTAACATTGATTTATAATTAAGAAATTATATCGGTATCAATTATGTTTAACGGCTAATAAAACCGGTTTGGAGTTTTGATGCGTATGAATTGACCACGCATCAGAACGACAAAAGCAGTATTAATTAGCTGATAAACACTGCTTATACTGATATCATTTCGATTCTTACATGATACAATTGGATATCACCGACGCTTTCTTTCAAACAGTGATTACTTCCGGTACCGATTTTCTTATAGTGCTGTTCGATTTCGCACCCTACTGTCGCTAAGATATAGAAATTAATAAACAAAAGAAATATAATCAGACAAAAATGTAATTTCATCAAAATTCAATATTAATTTAAACTTACGTGTTAGATTGAGCTGTGTTGTATTTCCATCGGTGCTCGTTTAATCATTTTTGTCGGTTTAAAAGAATTGTATACTTAGGATGACGTCATTACGGATTGGCGCAGTTTTGTCAAAGAAATATAAACCGATATGGATCAAACCTGTTGAGTTAGTGTATGTGAGATATTATTTTAACATTATATGAAAGAAAACATTATAAGAACGGAAAATATCAATAAAAATGCGTTATTATTGTTGCTTCAAAATGCTTTGTTATCTTTATAATCGAGGGAGAAAACATAAGAGCCGCATAAACATGTAGTACCTAACCAGTTTTTAGTGGCTGGTAATCGCCGGTTTTTCATTATTTTTGTTTTTATTAAGTTTGTTTGAATAATATATCTGTCACTGTGAAAAAAATGAAAAGACAATGACAAAAACGTGAACGAAAAATAGCATAAAACGTACATTATGGTATGTACACAAAATTCATGTGCATTATTGCTGCCTAATGCCTAAATAATGACGTATGTGGTTATAATTTGTTTATCTAGATATATACATGTATTGTACCATCTTCCCTAGATAATAATACAATTTTAAACATACAGACCGATGGTCGACTTGGAGTTGTGAAAAGCAAGGAAACTTTTGCTTTAAAAGTCGAAAATGTTATTCAACTGCTGATTTCACTTGCTCAAAGACAAATGAAGTAACTGTAACAAACTGCCCTTGTGTTGCCCCGTACTTCACTTCAGTGTTGTTATATTTTCTGGTCCTTCGGGATCATTGATGCCAACACTATAAAGTGTTGAGAATTGAGTACCGCTCAAGCCGGTGCTAGTGGGCGTGAGGGATGTTGCACTTTTTCATTATCCCTCATGTTCAGACTCAATCAAACCGAGTCTGCAATTCTTATGTTATTTTGTTGAGATTAATGCTTCCGAGGGATCACTTTGTTTCCAGAATTTTGCAGGTATATATCTCTTTATGTTTTAAAATCGTCGCTTTTGACTTCATGTAATGCTGACGTCTTTTTCCTGTTTATTGTTTATTATTTATATTTGTACCCTGAAGAAGGCTGGTCAGTCAAAATGTTTTTATATCAAAGAATTTTAAGAATTTGCAGTTGACTTCTGATTTTGTATTTTCAAATAAAAACACAGTATCCTAGCGACAATGTTTAAAAACGAGTATTTCATATTTAACAGCGAAATTTTAAATAAAATCTCTTTTTATTATAATTTATTTTCAGGATCTTTTAAGACATTAAACGTTTACACTTTCGTATTTCTTACTATACTTAATACTATTGCGTGTCTATTTTTGCACTTACTTTTTCGAAGATCTTTCTACACAGCGGGGGTGAAACATTGAGCGAGAGTCTACTTCACACACTAAATGTAGTATCCAAGGTCATAGCAAAGTCAAGCTATATGAAATTCGTATATAATAAATTGTATAAGTATGATATTTTTCTACAACAATTCTGTATACTATTTCCCCAACCCAAATCCCGTCGCATCATTTAAGAGTCAATAGTTAAATGATGCATATTTATTCTAAGGGTTTCGAAGTTAATTAATGTATATAGTTTATGTTCCAAAGTTATTTATTAGATGCATAAGAAAGACTGAGTGTAGAATTACATGCATACGAAAGGCTGAGTGTAGAATGACAGTCGAATCTTAGCCTGTCATGTTTACTTTTGAGTATTCATTAGAGGTCAATAAGGTTTTGACGGGCAGACTGACTTGACATCTTTTATAAAATCAAATAAAATGAAAAACCTTGTTTATCTTTCAACTGCTATACGACACTTCATCATTCCTGTATAAACGTGTAACTTGTGTGTTACCGACACACACTGTATAGTTCATTACTTGTGCAGAAAGACTTGAGGCGCTCCTTTTTACATTATATCAGGCACGAACAGGCGCCTGAGTATAATCAACGACGTACATAAATTAGATGGATAATGTCATGAAAAGAATTACAAATCCCTTACGGGCTATTAACACCCCACCACCACCGTATCCAACCCCAAGCATTCTGGGTCAAGTAGCTTAAAGTCAACGACCTTAACCAGTTGGTCACTGATGCTGCATATGCAACATAAAAAGAATTGGCCTAATTAAACATGTATTCATCGACTGTGAAAAATAAAAATCAGAATAAAATCGTTTATGGTCACTTTTATTTGTGAAGATTAATGAATAATCAAATATATATTTTTTGTTTGCAGAGTGGTCGCCTTGGGGCGGATGGACCTGTCACACAGACCAAAGTGTTTGTATAAAATTACGCAAAAGAACGTGTATAAGCGGATTTAAAGAAAATGATTGCTTAAATCTCCAAGGGGATGACTATGAAATTGCTTTTTGTGATGAGCATTGCAACGGTAAGTTGTTATTTGTGTTATAATATTATGCAAAACCACTATCAAAACAATAAGGATTGTTTGGAGTGTTACGCAAAAGCTGTCTTCCATTTCAAACTATTTATAATTATCAATACACGACTTAATACTTTACAAAGGAGCATTTGTTTATTTTTCTAACTGAAAATTGTGTCTGAAAAGATTCAAATGTCTCTCCTGACTTTAAAATATCTTTTTTATAGCATACTAAGTTTAATAAAATTAATGTTTTTTAATGAACGTTTTGTCTAAAATTATACATGATATACAGATACGTTTTTATTTTCTTAGGGTCATTAGTTTTGTCAAATATTTTGGGATTAATATGTTTTTAATGAATGTTTTTGTCTGAAATAATGCGAATGCCTCTCCTTACCTTACCTTAGAGAAAGACTTTGAAGCGGTTTTGTGTGATAAGCCCTTTTTTGTTTGTTATAGTCATACTCTCAAAACAAGAGCAATCAGTGATCACATGTGTCGCCTCATGGTGGCCAATTTCATGTTGGGACAAGTTTTGTGACAGACGGAGAAGTGATCGGAGTAGTGGCGACATAAATTCCTGTAAAGTTAGGATGAAATTGCCCCAGTAGTTTATGAGGAGTAGTGGGGACAAGTTTTGTGACGGACAGACAGACAGACAGACAGTGCACAACTAGACGTGGTACTGATCATTCCTGTAAAGTTTGGATAAAATTGCACCAGTAGTTGATGAGGAGTAGTCTGGACAAGCTTTTGTGTATCTGGCAACATACAGAAAAAACACCTTTTAATCAAAGGGCCATAACTCGGCCAAAAATCATTTCACCGGAAAACCCGTGCAATCTGCGCAAGGAGTTGAGCTACAAATTAATCCTGTAAAGTTTCATTGAAATTGCATTAGTGGTATAAGAGAAGTAGTCCGGACAAACTTTAAAAATAAAAATTATTAAAGGGCCATAACTCTTACAAAAATCATTGAACCGGAAAATGCTGAAAATATCCACCACTAGACTTGGTACTGATCATTCCTGTAAAGTTTGGGTAAAATTGCACCAGTATCTTATGAGGAGTAGTCCGGACAAGTTTTGTGACGGACGGACAGACGGACGGACGTTTTTACCAGAGCTACATTATGGGGTTTTCTTTTATTATGTCTTTTGTTCTTTTTAACCCCACAATGCAGAAAATAACCCCACAAGAGAAACGGAATGAATGACATCAAAGACATCTATTGTTATGAGAACAATAGACCAAACCCCATAATGGCGCTCTGGTTTGTACGGACAGACGGACAGACAGACGACTGAGAAGTGACCACTACTCCGTTGAGGCGACACAAATTACGCTCAAATGTCTCTGTCACTGTTGAAAAACAATTAGACCTTGAAAAAAGGTCCAACATATATGAATTTTAAAATATTATATTTCCCTATGACATATTGGCATACGGCAAATTTTGAGAGTTTTGCAGTGATTTATCTTGTCATGAGCGGATTTTTTTGTCTTGGTTTGTTCTACAAGGCTATTTATCTAGATACTCTAGTTAAGAAAAATAACATACATTTGTAAGAAACATCTGGTTTTAAACAAGTTTAAATGATTTTTTACTACTGTTGTAATGATGATGGCTAACCACTTGTTTAAGGCATTATCGAGTGGTTATAGGACTGGTTAAAGTTAACCACTGGATAACGCATTTTATCCATTAGATAACTTTTGAACAAACACATTTATCCAACAGGCAAATTGTTAACCAATGGATAAGGTAATGATTTTATCCTTCGGTTATAACTCACCAATATTTTGAACAACCGGGTCCTGCAAGGTCTAAATGATTTTATTTTTATTTGAAAACCAGTAAAACAAACAAAGACATATGGCCAATTATTATGTCAATAGATAAGTGTTATGCTTCGATATCAAATGATTTTATTTTTCTGAAAGAAAGTACGAATACGTACACCTCGGTATAACAACATGTTACATTCACAACGTAACCGAAAGTAAAACTAAAAGAGGTAATCAACTCATAAAAACATGCGATATTGTTGTATTAAACTAAACAAAACTTAAGTATTTACATGAAACAAGAAAGATCTACTTGCGCAAAAGCCCCGATATTCGGTATTTTAAAGTAAAATTTGTTTCCATTCATCATTAATGTGTCGTCTTTTATGATATTACCTCAAACAGGTACGTTTACCACTGAGTCGTTAAGTACAAGTAAACCTCCGACATTATCGACGGCATTTGGTGTTCATTGGCTTGATTGGTCGGACTGGAAATGTAAAACTGTCAATCATATATGTTTGATGTCTCGCACACGTAATTGCTCCACACATACAGTAGATGACTGTGAAATTAAACTTGGTGGAGTATACTTCAATACAGAACTATGCAGGGCAGAAATATGTACAGGTATTGTTGTTTCTGTTTTGGATACAATGTTTAATTAATACAAATACATTTTTAATTGTTTTAATTTGGATGTCAGGCTTGCAATTATTTGTCGTACGAATCGTCAGTTCTTTAATATTTTTAGACATAAAATGTTAGCACAAAGTCTGTGTACTCTATTTTATTAATATCTATAATAAAAAAAATACAAATAAATAGAAACAGGGAATGTAAGTGTATTTCTCAAGGTAAAAAAACGTTATGGACATTTGGCAAATATCTTTACATTTCGTCTCATATATTGATAGACATCATTTTGAATATTAATTACAAATTTTAGATCTGTTCCATTCCCCTTCAGATGTTCTTAAAGCAATATCCCTGTCTTGACTTATGTCACTCAGTCTGTCTATCTGTCCACATATTTGTTCTTTTAAATTAATAGTTTTGATGACAATTTATGTCAATGCTATTCGTTCACGGTTCATGTGCCTCAAGAATTTGATTTTTTAAAGGACAGATAATCAATTGGTTCCTATGTTACAGTATATAAGTTTATTCCTATGTATATAAGTTATAAACGCACAATTTGTTCCTAAACGGCATGTGGCGAAATTCTTTTATGCGGCTAAAAGAATCGCTGAACGTTCAAGTAATGAACGTAAAGTGCGTCCCTGAACTTTTTGGCTTAGATAGTTAACCAAAAATGTTTCCGAGATAAAGTATGGAATATTTAAAGATTTTAGTGATAACAAATCGCGTAGAAAACTATTTGATTGTTACATAAACATGACAAGATTCTAGAAAATTTGCCCCGGACAGTTGCCCCTAGGACTAAAGACAAATGTCTGGGGCTAATTGTCTGGATTCCACGTTGCAAAAAAATATATACGTGTTCTTTTAAGAGGTTCTGGTAAAAAAGGCACCTGATCTCTTTACAATACATGCATTGAAATTTTATATTACATGTACTTACTTTCTTTAACAATAAATTATGCTCAAATTTGATGTAAGAAAATATTTATAATTGCTACAGAGTCTCTTTGTAAATATAAAATAAAACGATTTTAGTTCATACAAAATAAATATGTAATGTTTAAAACTTTACACAAAATAGCTGGTCACAATATGAATATATAGTGTAGTTAGAAAGGATCAACTATACTTGTCCTATTATTGGGAACACAGCTTCCTATGCATAATTTATTCATTGTTTTGTTCAAATTAGATATGTTTAGAAATAATTTCATAGTTTTCAATAAAGTTCCATAATTAAAATATTTTACTCAAGGTTAAGCATAGTATATTTTCAAATAGTATTATGAAAATATTTTTTTTAATGTATTACCTGCCCTATCAAAATCTATTACAGGTCCGTCCCCGATGTTCTCGTCTTCAACCGCCAGGCAATTATCTTCGACTCCGTCTGTTTATTTGATATCTCAGACAGGCTATCAAACAAGCGCAGTATTAAATACAATAAAAACATCAGTGGCGCCAACCACTCCTTACACTTATTGGCTTGAGTGGGCGGGATGGGAGTGCAAAAATGTCACCATCTGTATGATGTCTCGCTCACGAAATTGCTCCACATATAATCCCGATGATTGTGAGAAGACACTTGGAGAGGGGCACTTTCACGTGGAACCTTGTAGGAAAGAAATATGTCCAGGTATTGGCGCCTCGATTGCACTGTTTATGGTCTACCTTGTTAAATGTATTTTACCAATTCTAATCCTCACTTAACTTTCCTTCGTGTGGGAAAGTAATTTCACTGCCATTGCATATGTATGCGTGTATTGTAAGAAGTTTATACTAACAGGGGTTTTACAAGTACATTATGAAATGGTAAGGCGGGCAATTTATTTTGACTGACTAGTTACTTGGTAAAGGTTAATTATTTAACAGTTTATATTTACTGACTTGAATGAACGGCGTGGGAGTGCTAATATTTCACCATCTGTTCGATATCTCGGACACGAAATTGCTCCACATGAAACGTTACGAACTGTGAGCAAAACCTTGTTAGAGAACAACATTCGGAACCTTGCATGGTAGAAATATGTCCAGATATTGATGTTTATATGATACATTACAGAAATGTAAATACATTTCTCGAATATTCATTAGCCGACAACCTCATTATAAATTTCGTACAAAAGAAAACTGTCAGAAAATGTCCCTTAATGCGTATTACGTTACACGTAATTAGTATTTGACAATGATTGGAGTTTTTATAATAAGTGAATGAGTATTTATTCAGAAGTGTCCTCTTTCAAGCGCTCAATGGCCGATGTGATCCTGTGGCATAATTTGTCATGATTTACGTCGTGATAACATATTATTATTAAAACGTATACAATTCGAAATCGAAATATATAGAAAAACAAATTTTTGTAAAAAGTTTTAATAGTACACTTATCTTTAAATATTAATTTCTGCCTGAAGCATTGTGGTGACAGTTAAAAACCTCAACGTACTACTGCAATATAAGATCACCCTTAGGATAGATTTATCGTTAATCTGTGTCAATATGGCTCCACAAGTGTCTGATCATGCATCAGAGATTCATGTATATACGTATGTCCATTTTTTTCTCGTTTAGGACAAATGCATCATATTTGAACCGAGTGCATGGAATAGCTTAAAAGGTTGATCACATATGCAGATTATTTAACAGTTAAACTTAAAGGCATATTATGCCTTAGCTAGGATATTTTCTATAGAAAGGGCACACACGAATTTAAAAATGTATAAATAATGGTTTAAGAGCATGTTAAATGTGTATCAGCAGAAGAAAGTAACGCTAAATGGAAAATCGTTAAACACAAAAGTACAAAAATGTAAACATTGTAGTATTTTGACTTTCATACACAATACTAAATAATTTTATCTGTACTGATTTGCCAAAGTGAAAAGTGATGCAAAATATAGTTTAGGTAGTTGGCCAGTGAGAAATATATTTGTAACAATAAAAGGTCACCAAATAATTAAAAAAAAACTTTTGAGAAATAAAAGCATTTCTTGGGCATATTCACATTTAAATGTTTCTGTCTAATTTGGCATACTTTTAATTTTTTATTGTCATACGAAAGAAATATGTTAATTTATTTTAAGAGCGAGTGTTCAAGCACTAAATAGTAAAATTCCAACAGAGAAATATTTTGTTCCGGTACATTTTATTATGTTAAGGAAAATCATTCAGATAAAAAAACTAAAAATATGAAATTTGAATTTCTTACATACATCAACAGGGGCACTAAAACAGAAAAAATATTTCGCATTATAATTATTCTGGGGGGAAATGACTGAGCAAAAAAAAATTTAATTTTGCACAAATGGTAACGGTCTAGATCTTTACCTATATCAAATGTCTCTATATCAATTAAAGTTTTTTTAATTCAGCAATGCAATTAGAATCTCGTAAAATCCGCAATAAAGCTGAGTTACTGTTTTATTTATTTCGTAAAAAGAACCAAAATATAGTTATTTTGCATGGAAACAAAATACGACTTTGTTAAAATTTTGCTTTATATTGCAAATTCACATTCAGCACTATTTTCTTTCAAATTGAATGAAATGCATGTTTTCATTCTACAAGACATATGTTTGCCCATTTTATTGAGGATAAAAATTAATTTGTGTGCTTTGAACTTACATATTTTTACTAAAATTGATCTGATTTTATTTTTCCATTTTATGAAATGCATAGTTTTTTAAAGATTTCCATTGAAGGCCAAACCCCTTGAACCATATATATTCAATTCTTACATAATGAAATGTTCACTTTAAACGGAAAATATGAAAAAGATAATACAGAAATATATATTTTTAAAACCTTTTTAGATTTTTTTTCACATTAAAAACGATTATTCTTGAAAATGATCTGCAATTTTGCACACGTTATAAGTATAAATCGACATCAAATGAAATAAATATATTTTGATACCCCCATGCCCAAGCAAAATTCAGTGGACCCTCTTTAAAAATGTAAACAGTATAAACATTTTAACAAAGTTAATATTTCTCAAATGATTCGATATTGAATGCCCAGTTAATACTTTTCTCATGAACAGAGTAACTAAAACGTACAAAAAATATTATCACATGGAGTATATGGATATTACGTAATAATACTGTACGTTATTACATTGTAACAAATTGCAGTTAGTTGGTCAGACTGGAGTACATGGTCATGCAAGATTGAGAAAGATGGGACATGCAACATGACACGGTCCCGTAAATGCTCGACTGGTCCTGATGCAGACTGTGGATTCAGCTCTCTTGAACACCAGCCGTGTGATGACGTCACGTGTCCCGGTATGAAACTTAAATTAAGCAGCGCGCTTCTACTGGACAAAACTGAACGGGTATATCCTGAGGTGTCCTTCCATTATTCTATGAAAAAATGTCAATATTACCTTTTGGGATTTGGTTCGACTTAACTCATAACATAAATATGTATGGTTATGTTTCAGATACACCTATTAACCTCATGGTAATTATGTTAAAACAATTTGTTATTTGTCGATCCGTCGTAGATATATTATTTACTAATTGGTAGTAATGATTTAGTTATATGTTAATAAATAGCAGTTCTTTATAAAACTTGCATTTTTTTATTATTTTTTTTGCAGAGCTGAAAAAACTTGGAAACCTTGGTTATTGCAAGGATTTCGGTAAAGTTTATTGGATTCGTTTTTTTAAGTAATATAGATTTATTTGAATTCTTCTAAAAACCACACCAAATATTGTATTCCTCTATAAACTGGACAACGCGTTTGAATGATTTAAAGCTTGAATCTTGCCTTTTCACGCGCCGAAATGAAATGCACTTTAAGACATCTTTTCATCTGTTCACGCTTATTTATATACGATTATGAAAAGAAGGTGTCAAAATCGTCGAATTAACGATTTGCGATCATAATTTTTGCAAGCGTCTTGAGGTAATGCTCTTAAACTGTAGTGAGTAAAAACGCATTTTTACAAAGCATTCATTACCTCCCATGGCTGCCATTTTGTCAAAGAGGTAAATATTGAGCACGTTTGGAATTCATCTTGTCTTATTTGTTCTCTCAAATGTTACTTTGTTTCAAATAAATCACATTATTAGTTGAAGACATATTTTCCGAATTGAATACAACAGTCCACGTCCACGTACTTCCTCTCCTTAACTTGTTAGCAATTTTCTTTGTATACCCCCAAATGCTTGTTAATACAATTGTGTTATGTTACTCTTTTCAGTATATTCCAGTTGTTTAGACGCCGAATCGTGTAAAAATCCAAGCATACTACTTATGTGCTTAGCAGATGCCCACGTTGCCAGCAAGATTTGTCCAAAAGCATGTGGCTGCTGTCATGGTAAATGATAATCATCCGAGATATATTTCTTTAAATACATATTTTTTTAAAAAGCGTACAATGAATAATCTAAAACTTATGAAAAAAATGCCTTATGAAAGAAAACTTACTTCATGTTTAATTGTCAAATTTATACGGTACCCGAGTTTGCTACACAAGGGTTGTTCCCTCGAAAGTACCGAAAACAGCAATATTATATGAAAATATTGACCACCATTTATATATATTGAAACATTTTTGATAGTTACGCTCACTTCTGAAGTACATGACATTTTCTCTTTAAGAACATTGCGACATATTTGGGTAGCTCGTAAAATCTCAGATATCGCAGATACTTTTTCCGTACAATTTATTTTTCAAAGAAGTACGTTTACAAAATGTTTGAAATGTCTCTTTATCCCTTTTTTCCGAAAATTGATTAAAACGCTCTAAACTGGTTCGAATTCTGCTAGGAAACTTGGATCAGAAGAATGAATAGGCTGCTCAGTAAATGCAACATAAGTTGGTGTTTTTTTAAAAGCTAATCCCTCAGTAGAAACAAACTTTAACCGTTGCACTACCGTTTTCAGTGGATAAGTCAATCTGCAGTACTTATTTTCACCAATTCAGTTGTAAAAACAAAGTTTAAACCGCCGAAATAGTAGAGGAAACCAAAGATAGTTTTGGTTCCGAAGAAAGTCTGTTATGCACTTGTACAGATTGTGTATCGGAAAGGCTGGAAAGTGGCCATGTGAGCTTTGGTGTGAAATAAATAAGTAATGTACATGCTTTTTGTTCCATTTTGATTGTTTTTTAGTTAAATAAACTGACTTTTAAAATTCGTTCTAAGTATTTTGCTTGAATGTACAATTATTTTCTCCTAAATTTATGTTCGTACAACAGTTGATCCACAATGGACATCCTGGAGTGATTGGAGGTGTGAAAGAACTCATAGTATGTGTAGAATGAAGCAGATAAGAACATGTTCTACTGGGAATACAACTGATTGTAAAGGTGTTTCCGAAAGAGAGGCTGTTTGCGATGAAAGTATTTGCCCAGGTAATCTATTTCTTATAAAAACAATCGATAGAGTTATAGACGTTCATAGATAACGATGAATTTTAATGTGAGGGGCTGACTGGGAGGTCAATACAATGCTTTGTTGATTCTAAGTAGTGTTCTCTATTTCATTCATTATATAGTAAAAATGAACAAAAAGTCATTTTGTTGCAACATTATCAGAGAATTCCAAACTTTTAGAGCTTAGATCGAATAATTTGATTTTTTCATATCACCTTCATTTTTTTCGCACAATCAGTTGAATTTAACTTTATGTGTTATTTCATTATTTTAATGTAAATCTACACAGTTTTATGATTTTACAATCAAGTTGTAAATAATTGTAAATCATGTGTGACAGGTAAAGGATTTGTAAACCATGTGTCAAACGGTAAAACAATTGTTAATTATGTGTCAAACGAAAATAGAATTTTAAACCATGTATGAAAAGTAAGTGAACTGTAAACCATATGTGAAACAGTTAATAAACCGTAAAGCATTTAAAACATATTTAAAATAGTAAATTGATAGTAAACCATATGTGAAACTGTAAAATAATTTTTTACCATATATGACATGGTAAATGAATTGTTAAATGTTAATCATATGTCAAACAGTAACTGGATTGTAAACCATGTATCAAACGGTTAAATAATTGTAAACCATGGATAAGATATAAATCGTACATCATATTAAGTATTACATGTAAATACATTCTAGAAAATATACGTATTAAAGGGTAAATGAATTATTTAACATGATTAAACAGCAGTGAATGGTAAACAATGTTGTAAACTGTATCTAACATGTGACACGTATGTTAATCGGTAAATGGTTTGCGAAAAAGTTTATTATTAATGTATTGCACTGAACATGAGATCATTATTTAACGATGGTTTAGTCGAGTAAAAAGGATACAGTTTCATTATACGATATGACTATTGGGTATCTTTCATTTGTATGTAGTCAAGACAATAATAGTCACATGATCCTGAATTGTCACAGGAACAACTTTGCATTGGACAGTCACATGAAGAAGATGATTGCTCGAGTACAGAATGTCCAGGTAAAATGTGTGCTTGTTTCAAAAAAACACTTGCTTTTATAGACAAAATATTTAAATTAAGTAAAATATCAATATTTCGTTTCATATCAATATCTTTACTATAGTAAAACTTAGAAAAAATCATCTTTAAGCAAATAGTTTCTCTTTTATTGTTACAGACTTCGTTGGATTTAAAGTGGACTGTAGTTTACACAGTAGGTATCATTTGGTTATTTTAGTAAGTAAATGGTCTATCATATAGCGTCTACATACAATGTGCAAACAGTTGCACATGAACAGCAGCAATCTGTTTTCACTGAAGTGTCCATGATTACTGCCTTATGAACATATCTGTGGATTATTCTAAATTTCACCAATATCATTATAACTTCTTTTACAGTAAGGCATCATTGTTTTTATAAACTGTTTCAAAATATTGGCCTTATTAACTTTAAATCAAAAACGGAGGTCTTGTCCTATAAACGAAACAGTTATCATTTATTGTTAAGCATGTATTTTATGGTGAGCAAAAAGGCAATACAGATTCATTATACGATACAGAACCTAACTGGGAATCTTGGAGTGCATGGAAATGTCAGTTAAGACCAAATGATACGTGCAGAATGAGTCGCAGTAGAATCTGCTCTACAGGAACACTTTGCATTGGACAGTCACATGAAGAAGATGATTGCTCGAGTACAGAATGTCCAGGTAAAATGTGTGCTTGTTTCAAAAAAACATGTAATGCTTTTATAGACGAAATACTTAAATTAAGTAAAATATAAATATTTCGTTTTACATATCAATATCTTTACTATAGTAAAACTTAGAAAAAATCATCTTTAAGCAAATAGTTTTCTCTTTTTATTGTTACAGACTTCGTTGGATTTAAAGTGGACTGTAGTTTACACAGTAGGTATCATTTGGTTATTTTAGTAAGTAAATGGTCTATCATATAGCGTCTACATACAATGTGCAAACAGTTGCACATGAACAGCAGCAATCTGTTTCACTGAAGTGTCCATGATTACTGCCTTATGAACATATCTGTGGATTATTCTAAATTTCACCAATATCATTATAACTTCTTTTACAGTAAGGCATCATTGTTTTTATAAACTGTTTCAAAATATTGGCCTTATTACTTTAAATCCAGGAAGGTAAAACGACAGAACATGAAACATTTTTGACCGGGATGCACAGGTGAATGTTGGGCGGCGGGCGGGTAGCTGGTAGCGGGCGGGCGGGGAAAACCTTTTCGTAACAGTTTTCTCGGCAACTTCTTATCACAGCCTCTCGATAATTGTCATACAACATTGACATGTGTTCCCATACCGTGGAATACGATTTTAGGTTTGTCACTTATCCACTTCCTGTTTATCGATTTAGTTAAATTTTTGATATTAATGGTCAATGGTAGGAAATGTTCGTAACAGTTTTCTCAGTAACTACTTATCATAGCCTCTTGGTATTTAGCATAGAGCATAGACATGCAGTCCCATACCGTGGTATTTGATTTTAGGTCTGTCATTCAACCTTTTCCTGTTTTCTGACTTAGTTAATTTTTCGACATTAATGGTCAATGATAAAAAATTACGTAACAATTTTCTTAGAAACTAATTATGGCAGCATCTTGATATTTGACATATAGCATAGACACGTGGTGCCAAACGATGAGATTTGATTTCAGGTCTGTCGCTCCTTCTTTTCCTATTAATGACTTAGTTAAATTTACTACACTAATGGCCAGTGGTAAATTCTTTTTTCGTAACATTACAGCATCATGATATTTGGTATACAAATGCAACCCGGCCTTTTCTGTCTTTGACCTATTTTTATATAAATATAATTGATTGAATCATTTTATATTACATTCAATATACGGCGGTTGTCAATGAATTTATATATTGCATTATTCATAACATTTAAGATGAACATACACATTGTAACAGTATTTTCATGCAACGTATATACATCGTCAAGGAACACGTTCAGAACGGCATAAGAGTGGCTAATCCATGAACTTCGAAAGAGCGCCAACGTTATGTTTTTTCCCTATTTTTACTGTCAGCCGTCCCATTGTCGATATCGTCTTCTGTACTCTAGATCAAAGAAGATACCAGAAATTGACGTAATGCGTAATTTATTCATATCAGCGCATTTCGGAAAACGACACAATCCAGTTTCAAGAAGTCAATTGTAAACAGCAACTCCTCTTATAGTGCACTGGTGCGTTTTTCCTGGTAGAATAACATTTTCTTAATGTATATTCCGTGCCGTTACTTTCTAATTGCGGTTTTATAATCGTGGCGGATTTAATAAAAAAATCATAAACATTATAAACCAATTCTATGCTTCTAATATTGCCGTAAATTTTAAGTGTACATTAACTTTTTTCACGTAATATTTACCATCTTGTTTTATACGGTGTGTACTTTTTCAACCCCGACAATGCTCTTAAGCAACATTTACCGTTAGCAGTTCGGAATGAGAATACATATACACTTCATGTCTTCTCCGCTTCTTAAAATGTTTGACATTTAAATACAAGTTGCCTTGACCAATTTCCGGTCGATAATGTTTTGGGAATGAACTTCAAAGCCTTAGTCGGTAACGTATGAATGTTCACACACTATTTATGACATTGTGTTGCTTTGTCCTTAAAGTTAGCGTCTTTTTTGTTACGCATGTTGCTTGATCACTTCTGATTCCATATATATTTAGTTTATCAGAATGTCACCCAATAGTATCCTATGTCATCACATTGATAAATTTGCTATTATCATATAATCAATGCTACCCATGAACTGTAGACCATGTAACCGTCACGATGGGCATAATACAATTGTTTATCAGTAAGGAAATATGTACCAAAAGCATAACAAAAGTCACAACTGCCTACTGATATTGACTGCCTATATCCTTGTCTACGAACTTTCCAGCCAGCCCTTGTATTTCTACTGGTTTCCGTTTTCTTTAGATACTAAATCTCACGGATGCATAGATGGAGCGGGTTGTCACTTCTTTGAAAACGATCCGAAATTAGTATGTGTTGCTGAAGCAGTCGCATGTCCTGTAACTTGTGGATGTTGTTGTAAGTTGGATTACTTTATACTATAATATTTCTTTTTAATTTCACTTTCTGAACAACATATCGAAATTGTTACATTTAAAGCTTTCGAATAGACATTAGAGACTTTTTTGTAGAAGACAATTAAACAAGCATTGAAAGAGCTAAATGTGTAGAATAGGTTTGTCTAACTTTATATTTATAATGGTTAATTCATTAAAATTATTTGATATATTTAAATATTTATTTATATTAGAGCTTCAAAAACAGCAAATAGCCTGGTCTGTTACTTAGGAAGTAAAGGGTTGCATGACTGTATACTAGCATACTTGTTTCTTGCTTTGATTCTAGCAGAAAAAGGGTGCAACCATTAGAGTTAATATACAAGAATACGAATTATCAACACTTTCGAATAATTAATGCATAATATGAATCTAAAGTTTAAACGTCCGACTAGTTGTCTAAGGGTTGCTGGCCGCATAGTTTTAAAATATGTCAAAGGCAAGCCATTATTTCATTCAAGCAATTATTTCTAAGTATGAGCATTTGCTAGTTCAATGAACGCATTCGAGAAGGGTGTATCTTGAAGCTGTTAGGTTCCTTAACACCAGAGCTAAACTAAAAAAGCTTTTATATAAACTAGATCAAATCTTTTTCTTTTTCAGGAGTTTGACAAATGTTACGGGAAGATCATTTTTTAAAAATCGGTTCGATTGTATACACAATTACCTTTGCAATTGTTGTTGTTTTTTTTTGTTGTTGTTGTTTTTTCCCGAACTTTGGACTATAACTGTATACGACTCACCACATAGTTCTTATGAAAAAAGAATATAACGACACTAGCCAGCGTTCCTACACAAATTTCCAAATGAATCCGGTAGTAAAAGTACTAATCGAATAACCCAAAGAAAAGTTAGATAAACCAATCAAGGGTCATAAACAATATCATAATTTATAATTATAACACAACATAATTGCGAGTTTCAACATGATTCACACAACAGATAAAGATGTTGAAGTAAACAAAGCTTAATTGATAATGGTCTAGGCACAACTAACATAGCTCATAATAAAGATTTTAAAAAAGGGAACAATGAAAAGACACATATTAAATACATGTAAATTATAACGTATGTCTGAAACCACAAGGTCAAACAAATATCTTATAAAGATGTTTGACAATACTTTGTTGAAAGAGATGTTCTTTCATCATATAATTTTTATTATAGGGTTAACGCACGTTTTTCCGTGTTATAACGTCTGCAGAGTCCCGAGGAACGGTTGGTGCCCGAGCCCGGTAGGGCGAGGGCTCAAACAGTTCCGAGGGACTCTGCAGACTTTATAACACGAAATAAACGTACGTTGACGCTATTATAGCATAAAATTTTCAAACAGATTCGTGATGTATAGTTTATACAAAACACAATTACATTAAAGTCTTGTGCTTGGACGGTATTTATCCAATTCTATGTTTTACGTATGCGTTTCATTTTTCCGGGGCCAACAACATGGAAAATTCTCGGAACCGAACGAAATTTTGAATTTTAATTAATTTAACAGAGCTTGCCCTTTGGAGATTTATTATCTCAAGAAAAAAAAACGTTACATTACTCTACCCTCTACCCAAGACAAAACATGACCCTCAGAAATTCTTAGGATGATTTCAGATTGACGGTAGAAAAAAGATCAGTGACATCAGAATCGGTTTTTTTTTCAAGCAAACAAGTTTATAAAAAATCAGGCACTAAGCATTATTCTATCAAAGAAATATAAAGAGCATTTATCAACATTAACATAAATAAAAAACATTTTCTCATATTAATTTTGTGTTATCTAGTTTTGTAAGTTAATCGGAGTGTTAAACTGAATGACAGGTAGATTCTACTGTATTTGTTTACATTGACAACTGTCCGTTTCCTAGAAAGGGCGACAACCAAGATTAGCACCGATGTCTATACGCCGTTTTTCCGGCATAGTTACTTGAATATGCGACTGAGGCCCTCGAATCAATAAATTTCAATATAACAAGAGCGCATGACTCTTCGGCAAACAGGCCAAATCGTCATTTTTTGTTTGTTTGTTTACTGGGCCCTGTATGTATTGCGCATAGGTGAAACCGGGCTATAACAAGAGCGCGTGACTATGTTAACACATGGTTTTGGTCCCGTTATAACATGGGCAAAATAGGGGAAAATAGCCGATTTTATGCTATAATATATTAAACAGAATGGGGTAAAACTGGTTAAGTTGAAACATTCTTAATTTCAACACCTCTGTATTATACATATTTTGTCTTTCGATAAAATTTTACAAAATATTATGACATTACTTTTTTAATATATAATGTCCGTCCATTATACTCACAATATAATAGTAACTTATTTATACATTTCTGTAAACCTTTTGATATGAGTAACAAATCATATGCATGAAGTAGACATTTGAAATTGACATTGTATGTGGTAACTTGATCGTTTGAGCTAACGGGTATAGAAGGGAGGTAATTGATATATAGTTAAAACATTATTTGGACTAAGGTTACCCCCTTGACTTACACAAATATTTGGGCAAACAATCATGTAAGCACCTTTTTTTATTTTAACATGCGTCATATTATCCTGTTTAACATATTAACATATTATTAATAAAACTGTAAAATGTCCACTGATTCCTATGGTACAAAATTTATAAAATAATATAAAATGCATAAATGTGTCGAATGCCTTAGTAAAATCAACAAACAAATAAAAAAGTAATTTGATTTTGCTCCTCAGCTAAAGAATTTATATATTAACGTCCGCGCAATAAAATATTATTAGATGTCTTAGTTTTTGGATAGAAACCAATATGTGATTCAGTTATTACAACATTATCAATAGTTCAACATACTATTATATCAGCTTAAAAATATCATCACAAATATACCGTGGCTCATTTGGATTACCCGATTTAAACAAGCCCATAATATACCCATTTGTGTAAATAGATGAATACACACCAGTTAACAATATTTTCTCAAAACAAGAAGAAACAGCATATTTCCATGTTTGATCATCTTATTTGTTATAGAGTCAATGCCAGCAGATTTCTGGTTTTTCAATGAATTGGTAGACTGAGATATTTGTTCTGAAATTCTAAAATCAAGGTCAGAATATATTTATTGGTTTATTGTTCTTTAAGCATTGCTTGTCCTTCCTCTTTTAGATCTTTAACGAGTTTCAAATTATCTGATAAAAGTTGCTATCCAACTTTGTGATGATGGTTTTCTGAAGATATAACATTTTTTCCTACAACATGTCCCATATAATTTTCTAGAGATAACAACGACGCTTTAAATTAATGGAAAAACGATTTTTACGGAATTAGACAACAATGTATTTTAAAGGTTTGCTCGAGGAAATGGTGTTTTTACAAAAATTAATACACTTTATATACAGAAAGAACAAATCGCCTGCCAAAAAAATCACAACGCCACGCGGAAATTCCTAGGATATTTTGCTTTACTTAGAGCTTATAGCCTTTTATTGCTGTAATGAAGACCCCATCAAAAACTAAGGAAAAACTAATATGCAATGGAATAAGACAAGTGGGGTTTTAGCAGTTGATTCTAGAAAAATAGTGTTTTTTACGAAAAAATATTTACACTTTATATACACAAGGAACAAATTTACAGTCCAAAGATCGACCATGCCAAGCGGAAGTCTAACGGACATTTTGCTTGGATCAGGTCTTTTGACCTTAAACTGTAAAGAACATTCTCCAAACTAATGGAATAACGAATCCGCGACGGAATCAGACAAGTGGTATTTGAACGAGGTCATTATTATTGGGTAAGCGTTTTTGACCTTATGTTTGTGTACAAAAGATTCCACAAAGTAATAGAAAATTTATAGAAAAACGCTCATTTTGCTGTTTTTTTTACAAATTTTATACACTAAATATACAGAAAGAACAAACCGCTGGTCCCAAAAAATGACCATGACACGCGAATACCTGCAGACAATTTTGCTTCGTTTAGGGCTTTGTGCCTTATACTGCTGTAAAGAAGACACCACTAAACTGACGGAAAAAAAATAAATCCGAAGTGGTGTTTTAATGGTTGGCTTGAGAAAGTTGAGGTTTTTACGAAATTTCTAAGATAACGGTTTTCTCTAGAAAATTGAGTTTCCTTTTTATGAAATTTTGAAAACTTTATGTACATATTAAATAATTAATCGCCGGTCCAAAAAGCGATAATTTTACACTGTCCTATAGTTTTTTTCCTTACATAAGAGCTTTTAGCAATATATTGCTGTAAAGAAGGACTTTCAAACTTAAAATATACTGGATTATATTAACTTAACTTTTTTAGGTCATAACACCACTTAATGATATTTTCATTAAGTTGTTACAACATAGTTTCTCGTCATTCTGCATGGTGGTGTTGCTTTTGAATTTTTCAGTCTATCTAATGATATACGTATGTACTTAATTTAGTTTATTTGTTGATCATACATGAGTATATGCAAAGAAAACTTGAAGTTCCTCTCAATTTAATATAGCTATACGTGTTATAACCTGTTTGGTGCTACTATCATGGTAACATTAATCAATGAAAATTTAGCCTAACTGTCTCGGATTGTAGATGATCAAATTTAAATTCTTTCTTAGATGTTGTATAGAATGAGCCTTTGCTCGAGATTTCATTAGCGAATATCAACCATTAAGAAAAATATCTCTAAGGATTTGTTTCATTGCCAAACTTTAAATAAAAATCTTTGAATTGGATAGCTATTGTTTAAAATCAATATTTATGTCGGAGTATATGTTTGACATATTTTGGAAGTAGTTTGAACTTTTTTCCATAAATGATTCACTTATATGGTTGAACATTTGCACTAGGGTTGTATTGATTTTCTGAGCTAATTAAAGATTTTGTTGGCGGGTGTACTTCAAATATATACCTTTGAAATATAAACTGTTCACCATAAGCGAATATTTTTCTTAAGTCCATTCATAAAATTTACGTAAATGCAAATCATATTACGAGAAACACTGCAAAATTTCGAGTTCATTATTATATAGGGATATATGTACGGGAGTACGTTTAAGGCAGTTACTTATAATTTCACACGTAAACGTTTATCAAAAAATTTACTTAACCCTTTACTGCATTAGCATTTGGTTTCATTGAAAAGTCTCCCGTTACAAGTTCAAATTGCTATAAAACTATAAAAACTGTTTCAATACTAATCAAGCTTGGCACAAATGCTAACTGGACAATTGCCTTTGTAACGACATGCTCAGTCTTAAATTTCCTCTTACCATGGCAACGAGGGGACATTTCAAAAATGCCAAAGATCAATATTTTGCTTTGATTTTTTCCATCAAAATTGATTTCAAAGTGCTGCAACTTCTCAATTGATTGAGATAGAGTCAAAGGCTTTTCAGCATTGGATAAACGTTACTATATGATCGACCTGGGGTCATTTTTAGCCTCTCACAGGTCCAAAATTTTCTTGGCGGTGAGAGGGACTGCCGCCCCTTTCAAACCCCCCAGACAGAAGGGGGCACATCCCCCTTCTGGCAACCACCTTATGTATCTTTTGGATATGGGGCGGTGCCGAAAAATGCTCACTTTTTCTCACTTTTTTAGACAACATTTCTCAAACAAAAACAAGTGTTGGGAGCCTAAAGAAGGCATTTTTAACCATTTGAGACAACAAATAGGGGGGGGGGGGTAAAAAAGCGGTAAAGGGCGTGTATATCGAGTAATGGGTTAAGAGTGCTTTTCATTAACAAATTTTCAGTGGTATAATGACGATCTTATGCATAAAATTCTCCAAAATTACCATTGTACTATTCGTTTTATATTTCAATTTGCAGAAATAATCAATAACCAACATGATTTTCCGTGAATTATATTTCAATGTTCATACATATAATAAGATATTTCATTGGAAATAACTCTTAAAATCAAAGTGATCCTAAACCTTTTTCATCAAAATTGGTGTTAACAAACTGGATATTTTTTCTAGCATATAGTTTGTTTCATTGTCATTTTTAAATCGTACAGACAAAGTAGGGCGTTTTACATGATAAGAAAATGAAATAGTTTTACAATTTATACAATTAATTAACGGACCACATGTTGTTTTCACGCGACACAGTGTAAGTAAAATTGTTATTTTGAACTGTAAACCCACATACAGAAGTTAAGGCAACATATTAAGCTTAAGAAGTTAGACCAGATGAATTCCAATATAAAATCGACTGTGTACCTAATACTATTAGGAATGCAAACTGCATGCTGTTTTTTATTAGGTAAGTTTAATTGTTTGGTAGTTTTAAGAATATTTAACTTGTAAGTTCATTATAAATGACTGAGTATAATAATGCAATAAAAGACAAAAAATCTGTATTCGAACTTAAGTATTTTTTTGTCTCATATGTGCAAATGATTTGGTGATAATTATTTGTTAATTCTGAATAGCGGGCGAGCACCATTGTATTGCAAGCATGTTTAAATATGTTGGTTTTGAAAACTTTTGTCAGACTGAAGTACAGCAAATTATTTGGCAATTAGTTTGCATGCTCTTCATTGAAAGATTAATCAGATCCCTTGTTCTGTTATTGTTTATGGATCCTATCACAAATTGAGGCCATTTAACATTAGTACGTAAGTTTCCGAAAATTAATGAAATTCTTAGTGCGATATCGTAAAATACATAAAAAAGGATTGATTCACGAATAGTGAATAACATTTTTGATAATTCCCGTCCAAAGAAAATGTAATATGTAAAGTTATTCTCGGTAGATCATTGATAATTCTAAATTTTATTGAATATTGTTTTTCATTTAAAAATAAAATTCACGAACCGCTGAGTTGATATAACTGCAGATATTTCTCAAGAAAACGGTCATATTGGCGGATGGTCGGATTGGAAATGTCAGAAACAAGCAGAGATTTGCTTTAAAAGTCGTACATGTAATACAACTTCCGATTTCAATTGTTCAAGGACAAGTGAAGTAAATATAACAAGCTGCCCTTGTGTTGCAGGTATAAATTTCTTTTTTATGTCGTCGCTTTTGACGCCATGTGATGCTAATAAAATTTTCAAACTTTCCTGTGTCAAACATATATTCGGGGAGCATCACCAACAGTCTATGTTTGCACGAATTGCACGTGAAATAAACTTTTAGCAGATAATTCAAATAAATGTGGTTGTGTTTACTGGTTGTAAACATGGTAGAATTTATTATGATTTGAGAGAGGAGCAAAGAATTTATATCAAATTTCGTGGGTTATTTAATAAATGCGCATCAGAAATGAAAACGGATCTAGCTTAGCTTAAGTTTATGGACAAAATGTATTTTTATATCGTTTAAGTGTCAAACTGTTTAAGGGAAGTAAACTAATGTTTAGGATGGACATCACCACCGTCAAAGCCATAGTTGTTGAAGATGCAATATATACGGTGGAGGAAATAAGTGACATATCGGGCATTAGTGCGTGACCGTCATGTATGATTTTCATCTTGAAAGAAAAGTTAAAGTTAAAGAAAGAGTTATGTACGCTATATTCTTTTGACAGTGATGGAATATTGGCCCGTATCTTTGTGCCTGAGAGGGGTAGTGTTACTGGACCATTTTACCGTGTCCATGTTTTCACTGCTGATCTTAATAACTACATTACAAAGAATCCAAGGCCCGGGGTGCGTACAGGTCAGCCTTGGTTCAAGCTTCTTTAGAGGAGCAGAGAATCGGGGTTTTGCTATATCCCGCTTATAGTCCCGACCTCTCTGCTTGTGAATTTTGGTTGAATCCATACATCAAGTCATGCCTTCGAGGTTGCCTATTCGAATGCCTTCGGAATAACTCTCTACCAGTGTATATACTTAAAGAGGTTTCAAAAATGTTTTTTCGGAATGGATTCTGAGGCTTTAAAAGTATGAACATGTCCATGGTGAATGTTTTGATGGACTCTTATCATTTTTTACAGGTTTTACTTATTCAAAAACGTCCTGTAGTTGCTACTTATTTAAATATGCTACTCGTATGTTAAATTTGCGCGCGAGAATCAGCAAAATATTCTTGCGAGTCTGTTCTTGCACTTGTCCACCTCTTTCGAAGATCTTAAAATGTTTTCTACACAACGAAGGTGGAACATTGAACGAGAGTCTACTGCACGCTTTAAATATAGTATCCAAGGTCATAGTATGTTTTAAAAGTCAAACTATAGGACATGCGTATATAACATATTGTATAGGTATGATTTTTGTCTACAAAACTTCTGTATGCTATTCCCCTTTCCTACCGCCTCAATTAAGAGTCAAGCATTAAATGATGCATAATGGTTATTCTAAGCGTTTCCCATTTATTGATGTATATACATGTAGTTTATTTATTAAAGTTATTTATTACATGCTTAAGAAGGGTGAATGTAGAATGACAGGTGAATCTTAGCCTGTCATGTATGCCTTTAAGTAAGGACTTTAGTTTCCCCTTCGTACATTATTTTGGCACAAATGGGCGCCTGGTTTGAATCACCGATGTTCCTTAAAAAGAATGTCATCACAAGTAATAAAGCAATAGTCTCTTGCGGGCATTTAAACCCTCCAGCAGTCAGGGACAAGTAGTTCAGAGTCAACGACCAGAACCACTCTGACATTGACGCCGCATGTGCAACATAAAAAATAAATCAAAAGAAATGGCTTTTCAACATTAATGAAAAAATAAGGCTGGGAATTCTATTCGAATATTCAAAACACTACCGAATATTCGAAATATTGAAAAACGAATACGAATATTCGGAAAAAAAAAGATATATTACTTTCAAATTTTAATTAAGATCGAAAATTAAACCATTAAACTTTACTTGACCGGGTGTTCACACGTTTTTATGACGAGTGTCAACAATTATCGCCAATAAACTGTGAAAACTTTGGGGTCTAGTTGATCAAATGGGCACCCCTTTCACAGTTTGCAATTTACCTGTTTAACAGTTTAGAATGTAATTTTTCCGATTTTAATTATCTTTTTTTATTGTTTTCTGTGCTATAATCTTTTCGATTAATCAATAATTGTCTTAAATTTTGTGAAGAAGAATAAATCGGCACGCTATGAAAGCATGGAAAGTGTCTATATTCCGTCAGAATATATTAATTCCGTAGATATTACACACGTATGATATTTACTGCGTTACAGCTAAATTAATTTTGATAATATTTTAAACCTTATAAAAAAATAAAAAATATTTAATACTGATAAGTTTCAATATAATTATTTGTTATCGGGGATTCATATTACTGTCAATCAAGTCACGTGAGTTACCTCCCGTTAATAATACAAATAGGATTAACTGAACAAAAGGCAATCAAATTATGAATTCATTTCAAATTGTAAACATATATATGTCGATTTACAAAATATAAAATTAAAAAAACTTTGACGAAGTAGTAAAGGTATTTTTAATCGTCGATTATAACAGGCATATTAAAGTAGTAAAGTATTTGACGCAATCAATTTCGGATATGTATACGTCAAAGAGAAATATTGGAACAAATGTTGTAAAAAACGAATATTCGAATATATTCGAATATGGAAAACGAATATTTAAACATCAAATTCCTTATTCGTTCCAGGCCCTAAAAAAATATTAACGTTAGTCTTCAACAATATTTCTCATGGTCATTTTTATGGAGATTGCTGAAGATTAAGGAAAGGCGTGTACGAATAATTAAATATAGCATTTTTTTTTTTGCTTGCAGAGTGGTCGCCTTGGGGCGGATGGACCTGTCACACAGACCACGATGTATGTTTGAAATTACGCAAAAGAACTTGTATAAGCGGATTTAAAGAAAATGATTGCTTGATGCTCAAAGGGAAAAGCTATGAAGAGACTTATTGTGATAACTTTTGCAACAGTAAGTTGTTGTTTGTGTGATAATATTACGCAAGCTGCTATCACAGAAGTGACGGCATTGCGTGGGTTTGTTACTAAAGCTATTTATAACTATTTATTATTATTAATGAAAAAGTTATTTCTTTCCAAAGAACCATTTGTTTATTTTTTTTTCTTAAAGAACATTTTATTTGAAAAGATTCATCTGTTTCTACTGATCTTGTAACATACTAAATTTGTTTAATGAAAGTTTTGTCGGAAAAGATACATGATGTATAGATACATTTCCATAATTAGATTATTCACATTGTAAATACTTAGTTTTTTTTAAAAGTAAATGTTGTTTTTTTTTCTGAAATAATACGAATGCCTTTCCTTACCTTTGGTTATAGATTTAGTAACATACTAAGTGAGAAGATTGTTTTTACATTTTGATATCATAGAAAATATCAAATTCAATACATACACCTCAAATTGCATTTTAATCTACAATATCAACTACTACAGGCACAACAAATGTACCAATAGAAACTACAATCACGGCGTCAGTAAATTCAGGGTTATATACACCACCTTCTACAGAAGCAACTACCATAACACCCATGGCGTCAATAATGTCTAGTCAGAAACCCCCTTCTACATCTGATGCAACCTCCTTCATGTCGAAGTCTTCACCTCCACAATCCGAGCTTAAGACATCCACTCAATCAACTGCGACATTTGATGTGACATCAAATCATTCAACTATTTCAACAAACACGGCAACCAGTAAACCGTTCAGTACAAGTAAAACCATTGGAATGTCGTCGGCTGCTTATATTTACTGGCTTGAATGGACGGGATGGGAATGCAAAGATTCAACAAGCTTCTGTTTGATGTCTCGCACACGAAATTGCTCCACGTTTAAAACCTATGATTGTGAGGAGAAACTTGGAGGGGATCACTTTCATGTGGAACCTTGTAAGAAAGAAATATGTCCAGGTATTGGAACCTCTGTGGCACTGTTTATTGTTTACCTTGTCTAATGTATTTTACATAGGCATACTTCAGATAAGTGACTTTCTTTATGTAACAAAGAAAAGTCTTTGAAATGGCATAGTTCTGTGTATATTGTAACATATTTATACTAACAGGGGTTTGAAGCGGGTTTCTCACAAAATGATTTTGGCTGACTTATTATTCTACCTGCACAATTTAAGTTCAGTTGTAAGAGGGTATAAGCCCTTCCGCCAAACCGACGGTTTGTTTACCTTTTTGTCCGGCCGTCTAAGTGGATTTCTGCTCTTAAAACTTTCAACCAATTTGTGTAACGAAGTCAAATTGTGTGTCTCGTTAGGAATACAACTTTGAAACTTGAACTTCCAGGTTAATTCTATAATTTATTCCGATATTTGCTATAACTCAATGTCTTAATAATGTTATAAATGGACGTAATTTATTTATACTTGGATATATCAACAACCTTTTTCACAATTCCCTAACTTTATCTAAATTTTATTTAAATTATCTAAATTAATACCTTTATATGGCCTTGATCCTTAAAATGATGCTTTAGAATATGCTAAAATTTGCCCTTATTTTGTTAGTTAAAGGTGGATTTTAATCAAATTAAGACAAAACAAAACTAGCATTTAACCATTATGTTGATCAATTAAGTTTAAAATCCTAACTATGGCCGTAAATTTCTTCTTTATATTAAATTCTTTTTGAAACTTAAAAACGCGTCATCACTGAAGATTATAGGGTGTTATTAAGGAAAACAATTCAACTAAATGGTGACGATATTTGAATTATTCAAAAAGAAGCGCTAAGACATGTACCTTGAAGAAATATTTTCCGTATTTTTAACGTTTTTGTTGAATATTTCAAAATTAAATCGATTTTCAATCGAAAATGGATTTAAGTCAATTTCATCAGTCATTAACTATTTATATATTAAATGTTTAACCGACGTCGACTTTGTCGTTGACATTATTAAAATCTGCATAAGAATCTAAATGCTTAATTTCAAAGTCATCAATAACCTCAGAGCCTTTCTGTAAATCCTTTTCAGTCTGCTCTGTAAGAATATCTAAGCTATCAAATGAAACATCTAGATAGTAATTCTGCGTCTACGATTCATTCTCAAGCTTAGCAAATAGCGTAGCTGTTCTAGCTTCATCACGAAAAAATTCATGACGACCAATTAGGTGTTCAAAAAGATACCTGCTCCGAATTAGTCTAAACAACAGTTCTCCACAGTACATTGTCAGCGCTTGACAGTTAGATATTTTTCTGTAAATAACGTTTGTTTGTAAGTTTTTCCATAATCATCACATCGATATATAACTTCAACAATAACGTAAAGCTAGTAGAATATTTAAAGTCAGTGCATTACACTCTAGTTAACATGTGAATGCTGCACTATATATGATAAATGTAAAACGAAAATCCCGTGCATTTTAGGCTCTGATAATCAATATATAATATCCTCCGGTAGAGCACGTTGAAAACACGAATATAAGTATACTAAATGATTTCTCCCTTTATAGTTTTAGCGGAAGAGAGATAAATTGTGCATTTGCTTGATCCGGTAAGTTCCATGTACTGCCGTGTCAATTTGGAACAACGAATTTAAGGGTCCTCTAATCCTTATTCCTGTGGATGTTTGCGAATTTGCCGATTGTTCTTTTCCATCTTAACAGACATGTACTTTTTATCCCCTTCCGCGTAGCGGAAAGGGGATAATAAGAATGGCATTCGTCTGTCTGTTTGTCTGTCCGTCCGTAACTCTTTTGTGACCACTCAACAACTTTTAAACCGCTGAAACTTTTTTGAAATACTTTGGCACAAGTGATCACCATAATGAGACGATGTGCAGCAACCAACAATAGTTGGGTTGCTACCTCCAAGGTCAATGTCACACTTAAAGGTCAAATGTTTAAAAGTCTTCATTTTATAATAAAAGTCTACATTTCATGTCCGCTCCTTAACCTTTTACCGATGAAAATGTTTTGAAATAACTTGGCACAACTGATCACCGTCATGAGACGACGTGCAGAGCTTAGTATTTGGGTTGCTACCCAAAAGGTGAAGGTCACACTTTAAAGTCAAATGTTAAAGAGTCAACATTTCGTGTCCGCTCCATAACATTTTATCCGCTTACATTTAAAAAGAAATACTTGGAACAATTGATCACCGTTCTAAGAACATGTACATTAGTGCGCTTGCTATTTACAAGATCAAGGTCACACTTTAAGGTCAAATGTATAAAAGTCTACATTTTGTGTCCCCTCCATAACTTTTAAATAGCTTGGCTCAAGTGATCACCATTATTAGAAAATGTTTAGGGTGCAATAATTGGGTTGCTACTCCCAAGGTCAAGGTCCCACTTAAAGGTCAAGTGTTAAAAGGTCTACATTTCGTGTCCGCTCAATAAATTTTAAACCGCTGAAAAGTTTTTTAAATAACTTGGCATAAGTGATCACCATTATGAGACGATGTGCAGAGCCCAATAATTGAATTGCTACACCCAAGGTCTAGGTCTCTCTTATAACTCAAATGTTAAAAAGTGTACATTTCGTGTCTGTCCATAACATTTAAACCGCTGCAATGTTTTTAAGGTAACTTGGCAGAAATGATCACCATAATGACACCATTGGCAGAGCACAATAATCAAGTCATAACCCTGAACGTCATGGTCACACTCGAAGGTCCAATGTAAAAACATATATTTTTCATGTCCGCTCTATAACTTATTAACAATTCAAAGGTTTAGAATTACTTGGCACAAATGACCACCCCTATGACACAATCTGCAGAGCTCAACAACCAGGTTGCGTCCCCAAAGGTCAAGGTTATATGTTCTCCATAACTTTTTGACTTTATGCCAGATTTCAAATAACTTGGCACAAGTAATCACCATCAGGAGACTATGTGCTTATGATATGCATGACACATCATCAAGATCATGGTTGGCAAAAGGTCAAGATATTCACATTCATTTTCACTGCGGAAGGGAATTTAGCTGTCCTTCAGACTGCCTTGTATATTTTCCATTGTGCACGCGGCACGTCATCTTTAATGAGTATTACGTCATTAACATCCGGAGAAATTGAGACTGTCCACTTAGCGACTTTAATTTTGTTTATGATCTTTCCCGAAGACTAAGTATATACTTATTACGCCAAATTAGCAAACCTTAGCTCTACCATGCGGAATACAGAATTGAATCTTATTTCACTGAATTCACTCTTACAATTAATAGGATTGTAAATGTCTTCATAATGGAAGTAGTAAAGAAAATCTGGCAGCTTCACTCTGATTAGCATGTTGTTGCCTCCTTCCGCACCTTAACATACAGTTAGAAACATCTAGCCGTTAAGCTAAATTGTTCGGCTTCTTCGAGGCAATAGAGTTGAACACATTGGATTTTTTTTTTCATTTGTACATATTTTTGCCATATACACTCGTCACTAGAAAGATAATTTCTTTGACACTTCTCACCTCGTATTTTGTTAACGAGTCGTTATCACTAGGCTGTGACCCTTATCAATTTCGTTGAGGACGAATTGAATTCGTTAATTCCAAATGGTGTAACATTGTTGACTGATATCACGTTAAAAACACTTTCCTTTGTTACTTTTGAATGTTCAGAGGCAGTTTTAAACAATTTAAAACCTTTTCATCAGGAGTATAATTTTCATCAACACCATTAGTATCATTTACTATGTCTAGCTATTTATCTTTTGTTAATAACAACCATTCAGGACCATGTCACCAGAACTTGTCTTTACAGAGATTTGATAAGTCATATCCTCTGCTAGCTATGTCGGCTGGATTTTGTTTTTTATTCAACACTGAAGGTTGACATTTTAATGACGCCTTATTTCCTTGACTCTGTTTTCTATAATCTGAGAATCTGAGAGCAGCAATCTTGAATCCAATCGTAGCTTAATATGTGTCCTTACGAAGAGCAAGCACCTTATGCGTATCTAAACTGTCAATGCCTCAGGTTTTGGTATTGCCATGTGCTTTACCGGAGTAATCCGAGTTTTAGAGAATATCAAATCGGACTTGAAATCATCTTAGTTTTGTTTGCTGTAACAAAAGGATGGATGTAGCAAAATTGTTCACAATTACAGTCAGAATTATTATTCTGAAAGTTAGCGAATGAGCTTAAATTTCGCGCACAGGTTATTGATTTATACCCATATCAATAATATTAAATATTAATCTATAAGCATTTTTTCAAGTGCAGTCATGTCAAACACATATGAGTGTAGTTTCGTAATGTACAATATTCATGTGAAACATTTGATGTTTCAACTCCGTTGGTATCAAGCCATATGATTATTGAAAAAATAACGACATAATTTTACTTAATTATAAATTTTCTTACGCTATTTCATAAGATTAAGATTTACCTTTATACTCTTAATGTATTTTTTCATTTATGCATCAATGCAATCAGAAACTCGTAAAAGTGTAACATGGAGTGAAAAAGTTTTCCCTTGCTAATCCTCTTATGCGCTTATGCGTTATCTTAAATAAAAATGTTATTACTTCAATTTTGTTTCTGAATCATAAAGGAATTTAGTATGGTAGACAAAATACCGCAAGTTGCTTGTTATTTTCACAAATCCATGAACAGAGTAGCTAAAAGGTACAAAGTTTTATGTTACACATACAGCGTCTTGGTCAGACTGGAATACATGGACATGCAGAATTGAGAAAACTGGACCATGCAACATGACACGGTCTCGTAAATGCTCTACTGGCCCTGATGCAGGCTGCGGATTCAATTCTCTTGAACACAAGCCTTGTGATGACGTCACGTGTCCCGGTATGAAACTTAAAGAAATATCGTATAAAAGTTCAGTGTAACGTTGTTGGTGGATTGATATACATTTTGTGTTAACAGTAATGTTCCGAAACTAGCGCGTAAAATATTAATAAGACAAGCGATTGAGTATCGTTATCATGAAATTTAAATATTTTACATAAATATATATGTTCGTCTCTTTCGGTTTAAGGTTTCACCTGCATAACTTGTAGCAGCTCTAACATTTGCATTATACCGGACTTTTTAAGAATTATACTAAGGCAATAACTGATCATTTACGCGTAATTGAAAAAAATAAAGTTAAGTTTGTGCTATATGATCAAATATACAAATAGCATGTGGATATGCATGCCACTGATCCTTAACAAATAAAATGCATATGTGAACTTCCGTAGCTTTGAGTCGTCAAATCCTAAGTGAAGAATGTGGAATTTATAAAGCCAGAAGCACGTTTGTACTTAAAAGATTGGTATCCTGCAGTATTCTTCCATTATTCTATAAAAACTTCCGACATTAGTGAATGGTGAATGATGATTTAGCCATGTGTACATAAAAACCATTAGTTTTAAATTTTGTATTACCGGTATTTCTTTTGCAGAGCTAAAGAAACTTGGTATCTTAGGTCATTGCAAGTATTTCGGTAAGGTTTATTGAACTCATTATTCAAGAATTGCAGTGACATCACCCATATATGTTTATTTTGTCACACAGATTTATATATGGAAATGAATGAAAAAAGTGAAATCGGCGGAAAAAGCGATATTTTTCTACTTTTGTTATCATGATATCTGCATGCGGCTTAACACGGTATAAAATTACCCCCCCCCCCCACACACACACATACATAGCATGCATTACCTCCCATGCTTGTCAATTTGAAAGTTATTTTAATGCAATAGCAAGTTTAAGATAAGAAAATAAATCTTATTTATCTATCATTTTCATGTAAGCTAATAAAAATCGTATCATGTGATTTATTTGCCTACATTCATCATAATCTCTTCCAAATAGTTGCCATTGTCTCAAAGAGGCAAATACTGGACACATTTTGAAATATTTTATCGTATTTGCTTTCGAATGTTACTTTGTTGCAAATAAATCACATTGTGACTTGAAGACATATCCGTTAAAATTAAATACAAAAGCCAAATGTCTATTTATCTTATAAGCAATTTTCTTTGTATACCTCAGATTGTTTGTTAATATAATTATGTGACGTTATATTATTTCAGATTCTTTCAATTGTTCTGACGCCGAAGCTTGCAAAAATCCAAACATACTACTTATATGTTTTGCAGATGCCCACGTTGCCAGTAAAATTTGCCCAAAAGCATGTGGATGTTGTCATGGTAAAATACAATCATCCGACATATAATTTTAAAACAAATATTTTTTTTTCAAAATAGCGAACAACAAAAAATCTAAAACTTGTGTAAGAAATGTTGGTTCATTTTTAATTTTAATATATACTGTACACATATAACCTTAGTTTTAAAATCCTGAAAAGGGTTGATTTATCACAAGCACCAAAAACAACAATTTTATATGAAAAATCTATTGCATACTTGATTCATTAATCCTTAACTTTTTTGACACATATTTTGATAGATACGCTCACTTCTTAAGTATGTTACATGGTTTCTTTTAGAATATAGTGACATATTAAGGTAGGTCGTTGAACTTTATTGTTAAAATATGTACTTGAAATGAATTTCGACGCATAAAAATTGATACAAAATACGCTGGACTTTTCGGCGTTCGAATCCTGCCAGCATACTTGGATTAGCTGAAGTAATTAGTTGCTCAGTAATCACAATAAAAGTCGGTGGTTTTTCTCAAAGCTAATCTCTCACTTCCAACACACTTTATTAATGCATCACGGTGCACCTCCGTTTACAACAGATAAGTCAATGTCTTGTACATATTTTGATGATGTTATAATTGTAAAAAGAATACTTTATTTGTACCGCCGGATTAACAAAAGAAACCTAAAGATACTCTCTTTTATTATGCAAGGATGGTGTTTCGGAAATGATTGAATGTTGTCATGTGAGCTTTATTATTTCGGTTTGACATAAAACACAAAAGAAAATAAAAACAAGTAATGCACATGCTTTTAGTTCCATTATGATTGATTTTTATTAAAACATCAAAATTCATTCTACCCTTGTACATATAACTGGAATATACGAATATTTGCTCGCAAAACAGTTGATCCACAATGGACTCCCTGGAGTGATTGGAGGTGTGAAAGAACACTCACTATGTGTAGAATGAAACAGAAAAGAACATGTTCTACTGGGAATAAAACTGATTGTAAGGGTGTTTCGGAAAGAGAGGCTGTTTGCGATGAAAGTATTTGCCCAGGTAATTCATTAAAAATGCATATGGATTGAAAAAAGTATGTTAACCGTTAAAAAGTAGTAGTTATTAGTTAAAACATATTCATAGATGTTCGTATATTAACTGTTAGTTATTGTTATTTTCATGTTTCATTATAAGGGAAGTTAAATAATTGCTACTCATGTGTCATCAAATAGTCAAAAAAACTTAGATCTTGTTCTATAAACAAAATAGATACAATTGTTAAGCATGTATTACTTTATGGTGAATGAAAGGCAATAAAGATTCAATATACAATACAGAACCCAAGTGGGAATCTTGGAGTGCCTGGAAATGTCAGTAAAGGCCAAATAATACGTGCAAAATGAGTCGTAATAGAACCTGCTTTGAAAGAACACCTTGTATTGGACAGTCACATGAAGAAAATGATTGCTCGAGTACAATGTGTCCAGGTAAGATGATTCCTTGTCCAAGTAAGATGGTAAAATGATTCTTTGTCCAGGTAAGATGATTCCTTGTCCAGGTAAGATGATTCTTTGTCAAGGTAAGATTATTCCTTTTTTAATAATTGATTCTTAAAAATCAAAACACCTAAAGCCCCGTGCTTTTCATTTTATAGTCGAAATATTTAATTAGATATTTAAATTCAGAAAAATAAGAATATTTATATAAAGTATAAATAACTAATATCTTTTATGTATTAAAACATAGAAGAAAAAAACATCTTTGCACAAAATAGTTTTTTTTTTTTCATTGTTACAGACTTTGTTGGTTTGAGAGTGGACTGTAGTTTGACAGTAGGTATCATTTAGTTCTACAGTGAGTGTTTGCACATGAATGAGACCAACCTGTTGAAGGTTCTATGATAGCCGCCGTTTGACCACACCTGTGGATGTTTCTATAAAATTTTACCATTCCATGTTAAATATTGAATACTGTTTAAGCCGGTTCTATGGGGGCGTGGATAGAAGCTTGAACTTTCAATGACCGTTCGTGAAAGTCTCTATCAAGGCGAGCCTGCAATATTTTCAATATTGCCGTTTTGGGCTTTCTTAAGGGATTCCTATTCACTATTTTTTCAGAACTTAGTGTAATTGACTATTATTTAAAAACAGTTGTTCACGACGAAAGTAATGTCTGCCGTGATTAACTTTACAGAACGCGCATTATCTTTAAAAGCCTATTCCCTACCTTGAAACAGTTTTAACCAACATAAGAATGGTACAAAATTCATGTAATTCATTCAATTCATATTTATACATTTCATACATCCAAACAATTTCGAGTATCATGTTATGTACCAGGTTGTCCGTCCGTCCGTCCGTTTTCCAAGGCCAACATCAAATAGTTTATAAGTTCATTTCGTCAATTATGCAAGTTAACTAAAGAATTGCCCAACAAGTTGGATTTTTTTATTTATGTGGAAAAAAATGCCACATAAAAATCAGAGAAAAACCCAAGAATCCCTTATATTTGCACGTTCGTCCGTCTGTCTGTTAGAAATTTGGATTCCCTTCTGTACGTTTAGAACCGAATGAAGGAAATTAAAACTACTCGGCAGCAGTGATTATCGTAATTAGACGATATGCAGCGTGCATATTTGGGCTTCCACGGGTGAAGGTGAAATCATTATTAACTTATTTAAAAGATTATCTCCGCAATGTATTTTAGCATCCTCAGAAATCCTTATCGAGATATGCCCAGCTCCGGTGTTAGCTAAGTGTACAAGAACTAATATAGAGAATACATGTAAGTCTTATCGTTTTTTACTAAAATGCTAAAAGCTAAGATATTTTGCTTGTAACATTGATTTGTGTACTTTTACAACTATAATTTAAATAATGGCCATTTGATATTGGTCACGCAATTTGGTTCACTCATTAAGGAAAGCGCATCAAAGTCTTCTGGTGTAAAACTGAAATGCACAGAACTTAGGCATATTTTGTATGCATTATTGCTGTGTACCTATACGATTGTAACAAACGTTATCGTCCTGGAGATAAAATGGCTTTGACTATGTGGATATTTATGTAAAAACGAGGTAATAAAATGGAAAATTATCTCTAAAAAAAGCTTTTTGATTTTTAAACGTGTTGGGGGTAATTATTTTATGCTATTTAAGTGCATGTTTAATGTAATGTTTTCATTTCTTTTTATTCAAATCATTTACGTACAAAGTATGGGCTTAATCCTATTGGACTGAAAATATTGATAAATATTTAGACGTGTTTGAGTCGAAGCCGCTATTATGTTCACTTATTATAACCAATATATTCAATATCAAAAAGAATGTCTGGAAAATTAAAGTTTCTGTCCACACTTCTCTAGCACCGGCTGTAGCATAATTCAACATTTAATCACGGTAATAGTGAAAGTTTGAATTTAGAAATATCCGCATACGGCGGTAATCATTAACCTTCAATAAGAGAGGTTGGTGTCATTCCATAAAAAAGACGTATGGTCCCCAAGAAAAAGAATGCGTGTGCCTTAAACAATAGACAAAACTAAATAAAATGAATTTTGAAAGGGAATCAGAGGTTATGAGTCAGTCTGCGTGTCACAGATTTGACTTCAAAACACACATTTAAAAGCAGGGCACATATTTAAGGGTGATTATATAATATTCAGTTAAGGAATACTGAAACCACTCGAATAGAAAAAAAAACACCAGTTGGGGGGGGGACTGAATGTACCATAAACACAACAATAATGTTGTGTTGAACGATCTTTAAAGATCGAAAATATTACATCTCTGTTTTACAGATTATAAACAAGTTTACTTTCTGTTATCGTGAAAAAGGTTCAAGTTAAACTATATAGGCTCCCGAGTAAGGTACAGTGATCGGACGTTATACGTGCTTAGAATAGCAAGACAGGGTACACATTAAACTGTATAGACTCGCAAGACAGGATACAGTAAAAGATTATATGTTGTGTAATTGTATATATGGGGCGACGTTTCACGACGTATTCACAGCACAAACAACGTTGATGTGGCGAGTAAAATAGGGATAATTTAATTTGTAACTTTTTACAGTAATGCATCATAGTTTTTCATATATTGTATAAAATATTCGTTTTCTTGTTATTTAAATCTAAACCAAGAAATGTATTCTATCAATCAACAGGTCATGCCCTTGTCATTCAGATCTCAGATTTGTTTAAGTTGTTTTAGATAAAAACTGAAAAAAAAATTACCATTTATGAGAATATGATTATATTATCTGGGGGTTGTCCGGCAAATTAATAATCTTCCTTATTGTAAACATTTAAGAAATTATACGTATAAGAATTTTGAAAGCAAAAAATACATAATCTAGCAAACACATTTACTAAAAACCAATTATGATAATTACAAACATTTACAGTATTTCAAATATCACCCAAAGCACCCTATGTCATCACAGTGATAAGATTACTCGCGCTAGTTTCAGTAGGTATTAACATAAAAGTGAAGTTCCCCGTGAACCGTAGACCATGTTACCGCTGCGATGGGAATAAAACGAATGTTAATTCATAAAGACATATGTACCAAAAGCAAACTTAAGGTCAGAACTGCATATTAATATAACTGCCTATAATCTTGTCTACGAACTTTTCAGACAGCCCTTGTTTTCCGTTTTCTTTAGATACTAAATCTGACGCATGCGTAGATGGAGTAGGCTGTCACTTCTTTAAAAACACCCCGAAAACATTATGTGTTTATGATGCAGAGGCATGTCCTGTAACATGTGGCTGTTGTAGTAAGTTGGATTATGTTTATATAAAACACTTTTTATTATAATTTATTTTATTTTCACTTTCTGAACATTATATTGAAATTGTTGCATAAAAGCTCTCAAACACAAGAGCCAGTCGAACCGGATGAGGCTCCCTGAATAGCTTATGGACATTGAGAAGTTCATTAAGACTTTGCCTTATTCAGCATTAAAGTATTATGCTGTGGGTAGTTGCTGGAAAAAATAAAAATGTTAAGATATGCAATGAAGAAAGTATTTCTTTCTACCTCATGTGGTTTCAGAGTTATGTTTTTAAAAAAAAATCATGTGTTTTTATTTCTTGTACAATGTATATATTTTGATTCATTGTCATTTTTTCGTTTCACAGAAAAAGTAGGACATTTGAGAGTAGCAAATTTTAGATGTTAAGATAACAGGCTTTTACAATCTACAAAATAAGTTAAGGGACCTTATGTTGATTTCACGCAACACAGTTTTACTCTAATTCTTTTCATAACGACTACATATAAAGCTTCATAATATCGACCAGATGAATTCCAATATTAAACCAAATATTTACCTAATACTGTTAGGAATACAAACTGCATACTGTTTTTAAATAGGTAAATTTAATCATAATTGTTTGATAGTTATAAGAATGTTTTCAGTTTATTAAAGGTGACTAAATGCAAATGATTTGTAATAATGAAATAACAGACGATGCATTCAAATTTAAGTAGTTTTCTGTCTCATATGTGTTAATGATATGATAAAATCATACTAATAATGTTCAACACAAAATCGAAATGAACCCGGTAATAATAAATAGAATAAGGCCAATTATAGCACTAAATAACCTTAGTGAACGGATTGGGTGGCCACAGTTTCATTTACAACTATTCTCATACAGTTCCTCAGAGTCCGTCGACTGTAAAAATGACAACAACAGCAACAATCGCAATCACACCAACAGCAACCATAACCAGAGCAGCAATAGCCTCAACCACAGCACCAACAACCACAACAACAGCCTCAACCACAGCATCAACAACCACAACAACAGCCTCAACCACAGCAGCAACAACCACAACAACAGCCTCAACCACAGAATCATCAACCTCAACCACAGCACCAACAACCACAACAACAGCCTCAACCACAGCATCAACAACCACAACAACAGCCTCAACTACAGCACCAACAACCACAACAACAGCCTTAACCACAGCATCAACAACAAAAGCATCCACATCAGGAACAACCCTAACCACAGCGGCAGCAACAACGTTAATCACAGCGGAAACAACAACAGCAACAACAACACAAACGCTGCCATATACGTCCCGACCAGTACCAGGTTTGTAATTTAAAAAATAACTAGGCGTTACAACACTATTTCTTTTTTTTTCTTTTTTTATTAAATTTTCTTTATTATCCAGTTCGTACAAACAATACATTTCATACATTATACAAATTTACAAACATATTACAAATGTTTAATTGCAAGAATAAACAATGGTTACATCAGAAAAAAACTTTAATAAAGACTAAGTAGATTTAAACTGATTTAACATGATTGTAAAAATGGAAAAGTAATCTAGAGCATGATATATGTAATTTTAATTATTTATAGTTATGTTTTCATTAATAAAAAAGAAGCGTTTCATAGTAAGCGTGTAAATAATATTTAATAGACTCCAGCCAGTCGCATATGTTTATGATGTGAATATGCTCCATTTGTTGTTATGGACATCGACCTTATTTTTCATTTCAGCAATAAGTCTTTCTAAACTAATTTTATATCTAAGATAATTTAAAAATTCACTGAAGTTTGGTATGGTTTTCTGGTATTTATTTTTAAATATAAAATATTTACCTAAGAGTAAAATATAGTTAATGCAGTTTGATTTCATATCTGGTGTTAACATGGGTTATTAAATATATTATTTAAGAAGCAACTTTTAACTTTAAGCTTGTGACCAAGTTACTCAGCGACTTTTTTGTTAGGTTTTAAGTTGCACTAACACTTAGGTACTACATTGACTTTCAAGCTTTACTTGTGGCGGAAGACCCCAGGTGCCACTTTGTGCATTAGTTCAAACGAAAACGGCACCTGAGTAGAATCAAAGACGTTTGATAAGCTAGCTGCATAAAATTTTCTGACATGAAAGAAATCGAAGATGCTGGGCTCGGCTCGAACCTTCAGCGATTGGAGGCAAGTGGCTTGAAGTATATGACCTGAACAACTCGACCGCGTATGGAAACTAGCTGTATATTACCTTTTCTTAAATGTATTGTTACATATAAAACTATTGTCCAGTTATTTGTAAGATGTTGTCCATGCACTTTACTTTTATCTTCATTTTGAAAAGGGCAAAAGGCCAGGAAAGTTTTGAATTACAATTAAACTCAGATGTTGTCCATGTTGGTTTTTTGTTTTGTTTTATTTTTGTGGTTGTTTTGTATTTGTTGTTTTTTGTTTTTTATACATGTATATTTCTTTAATTTTAATTTCTATTATTTATGATTTTTAGTTACTTGTAATGTATGTTCTGGTCCCGAGTTCTTGTGTGAAAAATTGTTTGCACCACAAACGTGTAACCCTCCTAACAATTACTGCATTAACAAACTTACTAACCATAGAGATGGAACACGGATGGTAACAAGACAGTACGTATAATGTGCATTGACATTTTATCTCAAAAATGTAGATTTCAAATAAAAGTATTGTTTTGGTATAGATCTAATATAGTAAATCATATTGCAATCTCATATACTAGAATCACTTACTTTTAAAATAACGAATGTATAATTATTTAAATTCAAAAGCCCACTTAAAGATCCTGTAGCACAAATTTTTATGATTTTGAATCATAAATATAATGTACAAATTAAGATTTATCAATTTTTCAAGTTCCAAAAAGCATTATTTATAAAGATATTACGGAATTTAACATTTCATGTAAATAAAGGGAGGTAATAAAAAATTCATTATCTACAAAGTCTAAGTCAAATTTTTCAATAAGAAATGAATGCATGTTTTTTGATGATTACATATAATATGTACAAACATTTGCAGTACATATTTGTATATATTATTTGATGTTTGAAAATTGTTTTAAAAGCATAATTATATACATATATATAATTTCACTACATATATATAATTTCACTTCAGTATGGTATACAACCTCAATTACAACATGCAGGATCTTTAAGTGAATTGGTTGATAATGGAAGGTCTATGATACAATAAATATTTATGTTGATGGTATTTGGCATCAGCAAAGAACAAATCACGAAATAATTAAATATAAATGTTGTAGGCAACTGTGAGATACATAATCCTATATTTCATATATTTTATATGTAGCAAGTTGTTCCAGAACAGAATATGTTTATTCATCGTATTTACGTACCCTTACATACTCATTTAGTACTTTGGTACCAACAATTTTTCAAAAATCCATATAATATATTCCATGGTGTACGTCAATATTTGAAATGCTGATGAAAAATGAATTCATTGTAGACAAACGACTACGGAGAAGAATTCTATAAGACCTAGTCTTTCATTCTAATCCTCTTCTTTGAATATTGTCAAATTTTGTATGTGTATATATTTCAAATGTTATTATGTACATATTCTGAGAATAAATATGTTTAAACTAAACGACTATATACTTTTAATACACATAAGGTCTCAGACACGAAATAAATTAAATCTTCAAAAAGAGCAAAGAGTTTAATGACGTTGAAGTAACTGTTTATAGAGCATGTTAGATGCTTTTTATCTAGAATTAGTAACACTAAATGTAAAAATATGCATCATAAAAGTAGTTATATGTAAGCAAAGTAGTTCGTGTTGTTGTATTTTGACTTCCACACAGAATACTTAATCATTATAACTGTACCAACTGCCAAAAAGGAACAGGAGTAAAATTTGGTAACTTTAACTAAAATCTAAAAAAAATGAAAACTAAGAATAAAACATTTTGGAGTATTTAGGAGCCTTAAGTCTGAAAATGCTATTATTTCCATTTCTGAAAATGTTTTCATTTTTAGGTGTCATATTACAATTTTTGAACAACTACTCCTTCACCATACAGTTGAAACATCTTTAACTCCTTTTGATTTTTTGGCAATTAGTACAGTTAAACAGACTTAATATACGTTTTTCTGCCTTAATGGCACATTTTTCATATTCAGTAACATATATTTCCGGTGATAAGCATTAAACATGTTTAATACTTATCACCGGAAATATTTAGTACTGAATGAACGGGCACATGAGTAGAACCATCGACGTTCCTTAAGCTAGCTGGATAGCTTCCTCACATGAAATAATCTAAAGTCCCTGTCGGAATTCGCACCCACAGCAGTGAGTCAAGTGGTTTGAAGTCAAAAACCTTTACCATCCGGCCAAGGACGCCCCGTCAAGGACATATAACAAAGCCAAAAATTGTAAAAAAACAATCAAAATTCTTTGAATATCACTCATGATTGAATTTAAGGCTCAGCAATGATGATAACTTGTTTTAAATATGCATTTCAGCTGCGGCAACTTTGACACCTGCTATCGGGATTGGTTCTTAGGAAGCTCTGACAGCGACAGATGCCGTAATTTTGACGAATACAACGTTATTACCTTAGACTTTGATTGTACATATTGTTGTACTTCAGACAACTGCAATAGACCGATTAAACCCATGGCAAAAGACCTATACCAGAATTTATAATAAATATACAAAGATGTACCGATGACTTTTTGTTTTGTTATTTATTTAACGAACACACATGAATCAAAAATTATGTGAGGAATACGTATAAAATTCTCACAGACTTGCAAATAATCGATATTGACCTCAAAACAAATAACTCAGTCATAAAAAAATCAAAATAGAATCGAGAGTGATACTAAGCAAATTAATATAGAATGTAAACTTAACAATGGTTAGCGCGTCGATTCCTTGTGCAAAAACTCTTTGTATGTTTGTATAAGTGTATTTCTACGAAAGCAACAAGCAAAAATTAGCGACCAAAAAATTGTATGCAATGTGGAGTTTTGCTGTACTTCAAGGGCTTCGCCGGAGCGTAAACAACGTTTGAAATAAACTTACAGAAGAATTGACGCGAATGAATGTCACGCAATATTTTGGACCTTGATTCTTGCGCGAGCGCAATGTGTCTTATATTACCGCATAAGTGAGCAAAAATACTATTGCATGGGCGGACGCAATATCAACCAAATGGGTGCATGCCAGTTGGGTCTTAAAACGTGTGTATTTTTAACAAAAAAGATCTATATTAACTAGAGCTTATGGCATTATTCGCAAACATTTTCGACATTGTTTCTTTTAAGGGCGCCATGAAACCTCAATGTCCGTATGAAATGCCTGCATTGTTTTCTTCTTTTATTCTGTTTAAACCCTCAAATAAAATCATCCTGTTGGCTTAAGTGCATATGCCATGATGACATTTTAAAGTCGTGTACCGTATCTTGTGCAAAGGTCACGTGAACCATATTGCTGTAGACTTTACTCTATTGACAGTTTGCGTCTTCTTGAAGAGCATGGGAGATCAAACGCTGCATTAGTCAAAGTCCGAATCAAATTGAATGCAAGCATCATGTATATATTGCAGTATTAATGAATCTCTAAGGTTAAATACGAAACTAAATCAGAACAAAAATAAGGTCACGTTAGGCACTCAAAATTAGATTTTTTAACAACTACGTTGGGTTTTCTGTATTTTTATGCTCTCTCAGGGGTGAGCATTTAGTCATCGCTATGTCCGTCCGACCGTTCGTCCGTCTGTCTATCCGTCCAGTTATATGTCCGTCCGTCGACTTTTCTTGTCCGGAACATAACTCTTATGCAACGAGATTTATCAACATCAAACTTTGTATATAGATAGATCTTATCGGGAAGAAGTGCAGTGCACAATAACCGAAACTCTGCCTTGCCTAACTTTGGAGTTATTGACCTTTGTTTATTTTATACTTTGAACATTATCCGGGACATAACTTTAAAACAGTAAGAGATATCAATATGAAACATTGAAGGTAGATAGTCACATTGGGTATATGTGCAGTTCACACGAACCGTAACTCTGCTTTGCCTTATTTTGGAGATATTGTCTTTTCTTCACTTTTATGCTTTGAACATTCTCCGGGACATAACCCTAACACTATAAGAGATATCAACATGACACTTTGTAGGTACATATATCTCATTAAGAAAAAAGTGCAGTGCAAAGAAACATTAGTCTGCCTAGTTTTTTTTTGAAGTTATTGCCCTTTGTCCATTTTACACTTTAAACATTGTCCATAACATAGTTCTGAAAGTATAATAGATATGAACAAGACACTTTGTAGGTAAATAGATCTCATTAGGTAGATGTGCAGTGCACAAAAACCGTAACTCTGCCTTGCCCAATTTGGAGTTATTTTGGAGTTATTGCCCTTTGTTCATATTTACATGTTCTATATTTATGAAATAAATGAGAGTAAAAAATAACAACTTTTCGGCGCAGCCTCAAAGACATATTTCACGCGGTCATCTGGCGGTGAGGTTTGTGAGGCCATAAAATAAAGTAAAAATTGAGTCTCCGAGCTATTGCACCTGTTCTTTTTTTTAATGGAAAAAAGGCAATAAATAGTTCACCTTAGGCTCCTAAAATAGTGCTTTTGGCTATATTTCGGGAAAAAAGAAACAACAAAATGGTCTCAATGGCAAACGCCTTTTACGGGCTTGCAAAAAGGAGAGACCTAGCTATTATACTAACAGCATTGCAATAAAACATAATCATTTCGTAAAAGCCCGAATGTCCGATATTCGGTTTTTACAGATTCCGGTATTATCATTGTTTATTGTAATAGTTTAACGAATTGAAATTATTAAACTGAATCAATCGTCTGGTTTTTAGAAAGTACCAATTTTCTCAGTGTCCGGTTTTCTCAACTTTTACTGTATTTCGTGTGTAAACAAAGTCGCCGAAGAGAAAACTTCCTTGCAGCATATATTGTTGTTTATTATTATTTATCATTATTATTATTATTATTATTATTATTATTATTATTATTATTTTTGTTTAATAGAGCAGAATATTTAGGGCATTTGAGAGTCGCAAATTGTATATGTTAAGATAAAAGAAAGACTTTTACAATTAACAATAGTAGTAAACGGGCCATATGGTGTTTTCACACGACACAGTGTCACTTTAATTTTCATTTCTAAATCTTAAACACGAGTATAGCAATACAGACCACTTTAATAAAATCATATTTTCGACCAGATGAATTCTTACATTAAATCAAAAGTGTACCTAATACTGTTAGGAATACAAACTGCATGCTGTTTTATATTAGGTAAATTTAGTTATTAGCATTTGATAGTTATAAGAATGTTTTAAGTTCATTTAAGGTAATTGAATTGAAATAAATTTTTTCTGTATTGAAATTTACATTTTTTTTTCTGTCTCATATGTAGAAATGATTTGTAAATATTTATTTGTTTTTTCTAAATGAGAGTAACAGGAATTAAATTTCAAATACTATTTAGTTTCAAAAGAACATTTTTCGTCCGACTTTTCCGTAAATGATGTTCTTTTGGATAAGGTAATATAACATATAATGTAAATGATATGACTAGAGCGTTATCCGAGCAACCCAGAAATATTAGACAACAGTATTCAACAAAAAGCACTTTTAAGTTTAAACGAATTTTTCCCAGCTTTTTGCAGTTAATTTCTAGGGCTAAAGTAGAAATACACACCAAGTGACTCTGGCCCAAGATTAAACGAAAGTGCCATCTTGTCTTCTATTGCACTAAAAATAAAATAGAATTTTTCTTTCATAATGTACCCGGAAAAGGGTTTTTTTTTACAAAATTTCGGTTTATCACACCCAAATTATGGGATTTTTTTTTCTTTGTTAACTATCAAAATCCCTGCCTTATTTCCACGGGGTTCTGAGTCACACAAAGTCGAATACGACGAGTGGCGGCGTAGCCGAGGGGTTCACAATCGGCCTAGCAGTCTAAGAATTGCTGGCTGAGTTGGTTCGAACCCCATCAGAGGCAGGCGTTGTTTACTGTACACTCTCAGCTTAGTACTGATCAATTGCAGGAACGGATTGAAGACTGTTTCAATAAGTTTGCAACACAATGGAACTAAAATTAGATTGATAAACTAAAATAAAATAAGGAGTATAAATTCATAAACGCGCCCACTAACTAGCGTTTCTACACAAAATTCATATAAACTCGATCAAAAGAATACAAATAGAATAAGCCCACTGACAGCACCAAAAAAGCAACTGGTCGTTTTTACATAAAATCCAAATTGATTTGGTATCGTAGTTAAATATACAACTGTAGGAATAAGAATAACAACCCATGTTATTAATATCTATTCTCATACAGATGGTCAGAGTCCATCAACAGTAAACAAGACATCAGCAGCAACAACCGCAAACACAGCAGCTACAACAACTCAAAAACTGCCATATACAGCTCCGCCAGTACCAGGTCTGTACTTTAAAAAAAATACTCTGCTTTATACCTCTTTCGGAGGTATACGGTAAATTGCTCTATCGCTACATCCGAGCTAGTGCATGTCGCTCAATTCAAGTGTCAAGTGTTTTCATTTTTATATATTTGGTGAATTATACACCAAATATTAAAATTCGATGAATGCTATGCCATGTAGATTTGACTAAAGTTTCCAGATAACATAAAGTTGTTATAATTGTGATTGAAATGTAGTTATGGCGTCGTAACCCAATTAGCAAATTCGGCGTTTAACTGGACCGTTTCTTCATGAAACAGATTATTTTTCCTCAAATTTTCATCTTAATTTTCAGATAAAAAAACGGATACGTTTCAAGTAGATATAAGGTCTTGAAATGAAATAAGATTGAAATCAGATCAAATTATTAGTTAATAAAGAAAATATAGGATATTTGTTCTGTCAGACAGCTCTGTCGTGAAGGAGGTAATCATGTCGCCAAGGAGATAGCTCTATGGTTTCAAAGTTGACTAAAAATGAAAGGGCAAGGAGTGTAAAATGTTGGCGGTAAAAACGATCTTTAGTATGCCTAAGAGTTTGAAGTGTCATATAAAAACCGTTTGCATGGGAACTATGAATGTGAACATTGTGACAAGAAATATTTATTGAGCTTTTGGTGTACTTGATTTCTTTTCTTTGTTCTCTATTCAAAATGCCCAGTGAGTTGACATTTTAACTAACCTACAAGTATCTACATTGTTTCCAGCCTGCGAGAAAGCTACGATTCTTTTTTATCTTTAAAACACCTTGAATATCCAGTAACGCAGTGTGGTGCAAATACCGAAGGCCTAGTGAAATGTAACGCAGAATTGTGCAATTCTGCGGCCGAAAAAGGAAATGCACTAATATCTTTATTGCACATCAAATTGAAAGAAGTGAATTAGAACATACGGTTGCTAAGACATTATTCTTTAAACATCAGCAAAAATATTTCCATGACAATGTTTATTTTTCAAGATAATTCGTGAAAATTTCGATCTGAATTTTGAGTTTCGTCGTATCTTTAAACACAATATCGTATATATTATACTATGGATTTTGATTTCCGGTGTACCCGACACATTAGCAAAACTACTCGTCTCTTGGTATACACGATATGCAGTCATCTGAAATGGACAAATATATACCATGTTTATGTTTTGTAACTTTTGTACAAAAAGTTTAAGTCTTAACATGTATTTTTAAGTTAAGTTCTTAATGCAACGTGGCAAAAGTGGTTAGATATGTATAAACTAAAAAGATACTGAAACAGCACAAATTCAATTCAATACTACACGAATATAGACAATATAGTATGCTGTTTATCACAATGTTGTGTACAGTAAAAAAAACAATTGAGTCCGCTGTAAATATTAATGCTTTATTATGCAAATTACGTCATGATAAGCATGCATAGTAGTTACATAAGTAAAATATTGTTTTTATTATTTTTGTGCCATGATAAATGTTATGGATAAAATCAATCACAATCAATCAGATACTTTGTACGTAACTATAGAGCTATCTCCTTGGCGACATGATTACCTCCTTCACGACAGAGCTGTCTCAGAGAACAGATATTCTATATTTTTTATTCACTAATAATTTGATCTGATTTCAATCTTATTTTATTTCTAGTCATTATATCTACTTGAAACGTATTCGTTTTTAATCTGAATCGCTGTTTAGATGAAAATTTCACGATAAAATGGTCCATTTCAAAGCAAGATTCGCTTACTGGTAAACGCCGCCACAACTACATTTACAACACATTTATAACAACTTTATGTTTTCTTGATCAAATCTTCATGACATAGCATTCTCCGAATTTTGATATTTAGTAAAGAGTTTACAAATATAGTTAAAAAAAAAACATTGACAATTGATTTAAGCGACATGCACTAGCTCGAAAGTAGCGATAGAGCAATTTACCGTCTACCTCCGAAAGAGGTAGCTCTATCATTTACCAGGCGTGATATACCACCACACCTCTTTTTGTAATTGATATTTAGTAGTCCATGCACTTAAGCTTTTAAGTTTTTGTCTTAATTTTGAAAACGAGAACAGGGAAATTTTAAATAAGAGTTAGCCTCAGGAAAGAAGTCCACGTAATTTTCGTTTTTTTATCTGTTTGATTATTATTGTGTTTTGTTGGTGGTGTTTGATTTTTTGATTTTTTTTGTTTGATTGCTTGTTTGAATTGTTTTAATTTTTTAATTTTCATTTATTTATTTTTTATATTTTATCTTTTCCTAGTTACTTGTAATGTTTGTGCTGGTCCCGAGTTCCTGTGTGAAAAATTGTTTGCACCACAAACGTGTTACCCTCCTAACAATTACTGCATTAACAAACTTACCAACAATATAGATGCAACACGAATGGTAACAAGACAGTACGTATAATGTGCATTGATATTTAATTTACTTGAAAATTGATAACATTTTATCCAATATTGATAAGTGTTAGATTTAATCTACTCAATTTAGCCTCGTCTTAAATTTACGAGACTAAACTTTTCGTATCAAATCCAAATTACTGGATCTAAACAGCCGATTTGTTGTTCATTTTCCGAGTCAAAAAAAAAGCTGTGAATTTGTCCCTCAGAAAATGGTATTGTATTGTACTCAATTCTTAATTACCTTATATTTTCATTATATTATTGACAATGATAGCGTTATATAACAAATATTTATAAATGCTGATGAAAAATGTATGCATTGTTGACCTATCCACTTTAAATGCATATAACATGTGGTGACCAGAATGAACGGGGGTAATTTTTGATGACTATAAACTTTGACCAAAATTTAAAAAAAAACTTTTGAAAAATAAATATAAAACATTTTTGGAGAATAACACGCCTTTAAGCCTGTAAATGCTATTTTTGATCATATTTCTTTGAGGTGTCTTATTACAATTTTTGAACAACTATTCATTGACCATACAGCTGAAACATATTTTATTCCTTTTGACTTTTTGGCAATTAGTACAGTTATACTGGCTAAATGGCATATCATGCCGTATTTAGTACTACATATTTCTGGTGATAAGCATTAAACATGTTTTAAATCAATTATGGATCGTTATTAAATCCATTTTTGTCCCTTCAAAGAAAGAAAATAAATATTCATTTCTTTGGTACCATGAGTCTGAAAATTCAACAGTATTATATATATTTCAATGATTTCATGATTTGTTATTGAAATTGTTGCGGAAATTGTATTTGCTCAATGACAAGAACATATTTTGTTTGTTTGATTGATTGGGTTTTACGTCAGACTGACACAGTATAAGTCATATGACGACGTTCGAACTAATGTAAGAAGACCTCATGTGCTCTGCTGCACGAACGGGCACCAGAGTATAACCCTCGACGTTGCGAAAGCTAGCTGGATAGATTCCTCACATGAAAGAATCGAAAGTCCCTGTCGGAATTCGCACCCACAGCTGTGAGGGGCAAAAGGAAAACAACTTTACCACCCGACGACGGACGCACCGCCAATGCCATATAACAAAGCCAATAATTGTAAGAAATAATCACCATTCTTTGAATGTCAATCTTGCCTGTATTTAAGACTCAGCAATGACGATAACTTGTTTTAAATATGTTTTTAATATGCATTTCAGCTGCGGCAACTTTGACACCTGCTATCGGGATTGGTTCTTAGGAAGCTCTGACAGCGACAGATGCCGTAACTTTGAGGACAACAACATTATTACCCTTGACTTTGATTGTACATATTGCTGCACTACAGACAACTGCAATAAACCGATTAAACCGTTGGACAAAGACCTATATAAGGGTAGATAATAAATATACAAAGATGTACCGATTACTTCTTGTTGACAAACTATTACGTTTATACACACAATAATGTATGTTGTTTTCTTAATATAATATCATTAGAATCTCCTTCACTTGGGACCATGACAGCTTACCACAAAATACGAATACGAGTGGCGGCGTGGCCGAGTGGTTCACAATCTGCCTAGCAATCTAAGAATTGCTGACTGAGTTGGTTCGAACCCCATCAGAGGCAAGCCGTTGTTTCCTTGGTTCAGAAATTGTACACTCATAGCTTAGTACTGGTCGATTGCAGGAACGGATTGAAGACTGTTTCAATAAGTTTCAAACACAATGGAACTTAAATTAGATTGATAAACTTAATTAAAATAAGGAGCATAAATTCATAAACCCACCAACCAGCGTTTCTACACATAATTCATATAAACTCGATCAAAAGAGTAAAAATAGAACAAGCCCAATGACAGCACCAAAAAAGCAAGTGGTCTTTTTTACACAAAATCCAAATGGATTGAGTATCGAAGTTAAATGTACAACTGTAGGAATAAGAATAACAATCCACGTTATTAATATCTATTCTCATACAGTTCCTCAGAGTCCCCCAACAGTAAAGATGACATCAACAGCAACAACCTCAATCAAAGCAACAACAAACGGAACCACAGCGGCAACAACCGAAACCACAACAGCAGCATCAATCCCAAATACAGCAACAACAACAACTCAAAAACTGCCACATACAGCTCCGCCAGTAGCAGGTCTTTATTTAAAGAAAATACTCTGCTTTACAAAACTACATTCTAATTTTAAAGTGTATAAAGCTGTATATCCGTTGCCTGTGGATTTTAAAAAGTTTTGTTGATATTAACATGAAAATGAATAAAGAATACCAAGTGTGTGTTTTCCTGAAAGCGAGTTGAATATTCTTGAAATCATCGCCAAAACTACTAAAGTAATAGCTGAAAATTTTGTTCCGAAACATTGTACTCTATATACAATATGCATGTACAATCAATTAAGTTAAACATTGTGTGTTACAAATCATAAAGAAACAATAATTGGTTAAAAAAGAACATAACTCAACTGTTTTTGATTTTTTATAAACAAATATATGAGCTACAGCTTTATACACTTAAACGTGGATTACAAAATAAATTATTATGAAGCATTTTTATTATTTAGCTTGATAGCCTCTGCATCAACTTCTGACAGGTACAGAGAAGTTTTGCAGTCATCTTTTATCATTAGTTTATTATTTGTTTCAAAATAAATTGCATTTTAATGATAATACCCAGATAATAAGTTTCGCAAGGCAATTTTCCACGACATGCATATATATTAATGATCTGATTTTTATTGATTATTTTGTGGGGGAGGGGGTTGTTAACGTCACACTAACACTATAGGTAATAAGGGAACTTTAAAGCTTTGAAGGAGAAAGACCTCAGGTGCCTCTTTGTGCATTACTGTAAGTAATAACAGCCACATATATTAGGTAAACTAGCTGAAGAGCTTTCTCACATGAATTTTAAAGAAATCAAACACGCTGGCGCGGATTAAATCTACAGCGATTGGAAGCAAGTGCCTTGAAGTCAATGATCTTTACTACTGGACAACGAACGCCCCGACACGCATCTATTTAGATTTGGCACTTATTTCTGTTTCCATTCTTTTACAATGTAAACAGAATAATTTTGTTTTTATTATTGATTCATACAAAACTTATGATAAATCAATAGGCAAACTCATTCTCTGTATTTTTGTTGATTGCAATTTTTATTGGTAAACTATAAATCTACAGTTTGTCTGAAAAAAACAGTGTCCAAAAAAAGCATATATACAAAATGTGTTTTATATATTATTAGAACTGTACAAAACAGTTAACAACTATATTGATAAAGCTATCTGTGTTTTCCATAAAACATCTTCACGGTGATAGGGCGTTTACCACAACTTTTCCGCGCAACGTCAAAATATCTTACTTCTGACCGAGACACCGTATATTTCTGTACAAAATATTAATGGCTCGATAACTAAATTGCAGGTAATAGCTTACAAAATATCTTCCTGCTGAAATTATTCCAATTGTTTAGGTACTCCATCGAATTTTTGAAACAATTTGTTGTTAATCTAGCACAACACAATTCACAAAAAATTACATACTTCGTAGGAATAGTGTTTTCAAACGATCGTGACTACCTCAAAATGACTCGAACTTGTCACAAAAACATGTGTTAAAACGACGATGTATTTGTTCTATGACCTTACGAGCTTGTGTATATATTATGATTAGGCATAAATTCAAGTTCCATACACATTGTGTGTTTCTATTGTAAATTTTAGGGAATATATGTTGTAAAAAGGCCTATTGACTCGAATATTGGAGCACCGTACAACACTGAATTCAAACACCGCATTCTTTTTCCGTTTGACCGATAAATACTGGAACCGTTTTCATTTGCACTATACTTTATAAGTAACTGTTAATTGACCTATTGTTATGTTATGTTGCTGTTATAATCATATGTTATTTTATGGAAAACTCCTGAAGGTCACTTCTATGTAAATAATACCAGTAAGGTTAGTGCAATGGTATCTACAATCTTATTCAAACGGATAAACCCCTCATGAAAGATCATTCTTCGATGAGGTTACCAAGCATTGATAAAATTGTTTCGAATAACCAATCAGAAAAAAAACATAATAAAATCACTTTAATGTGATGCAAGAGATAAAGCAAAGTGAATAAATTCAAAAATCAAGTGAAAAATGTGATTCAGTTTAATAGTATATACATGTACAAGGTGGTGAACCGATGCAAACTTTGTGGTTCAGTGCACGATTAAAAAACACGGAAATCCAATTCATATCGGGTTTTCGTAAAAATAAACTTTTAAAACGCTCAGTAGAATTCATCTTATAATTTGCATCAACAATTACATTTAAAAAATCCTATAACCGATTTAATGTCAACCGATGAAACCTTCAAAATAATTTTGGCAACATGCACGGCGGAATCATCTGAATCAGTTTGAAAATGATTATTGAAAGAAACACTTTCTACAACACAATGGTAACACTTGGTAACCTCATCGAAGAATTATCTTTCCATGTGGTTTTTTTCCGTTTGAATAAGTTCGAAAAAAGAAAAGATATCGACTTATCTAACAAGTATTATTCACATAGACCAGACCTTCAGAAGTTTTCCATTAAATAACATATGATAACAGCAACATAACATATCAACAGGTGAATTAACAGTTACTTTTAAAGAATGATGCAAATGAAAACGGTTCATGTATTTATCGGTCAAACGGAAAAAGAATGCGGTGTTTGAATTCAGTATTGTACGGTGCTCCAATATTCGAGTCAATGGGCCTTTTTCCAACATATATTCCCTAAAGTTTACAATAGAAACACACTGTTTCTTCGAAGTATGTAATTTTTTGTGAATTGTGTTGTGCTAGATTAACCATAAATTGTTTCAAAAATTCGATGGTTAATATTTTGTCCAGAAATATACGGTGTCTCGGTCAGAAGTATGATATGTTGACGTTGCGCGGAAAAGTTGTGGTAAACGACCTCTCACCGTGATCTTTAAAACTTTGAACATAACCCGTAAAATATCGGGGACTGGTCACAAGCTGTATTTTTTATATTCTTAAATGCATTGTTATATATAACACCACTCCTTTTTGTTATCGTTACTTAACCTTTTAAGTTTTTTTTTCTTAAATTTGAAAGGGAGAACTAGGAAATTTTAAATCACAATTAAACTCATGAAAGAAGTCCACACATGATTTTCGATCTTTATCTGTTTGATTTCTTGTTTGTTTGTTTTTTGTATTTTTTATTTTTTATTTTTTATAGTTACTTGTAATGTTTGTGCTGGTCCCGAGTTCCTGTGTGAAAAATTGTTTGCACCACAAACGTGTTACCCTCCTAACAACTACTGCATTAACAAACTTACTAACCATAGTTTATCCAATATTGGTCAGACATTCATATTGATATTTCTATAGACTTACATTATAAGAAATGGTCCCTAATCCTACCTTAAAATTGAGTTTTCATGCTAAAGAGGTGATTTTTCTAGCAGAATGAAATGCCTGACACATAAAAATGTTCCTGTTATATAGTGTTAGCCAACCAATTTTTTTGCAAAATGACTTCAAAGAGGATTACCCCCCATTTCATTGAAATTTTCTGCTGATCACAGGACTGACATACACTTTTTATAAATGCAAATATCCAAGTCAAAATTATCATAGGGACTCATGAAATATTTCATTTTCTTCAGAAATCAATGTAGTGTTACTTTTTAAATTAGTTTTTATACTTAAAAATACCCCATTCTCATCCAATCACCTCATGTATAAAGTGATTCATACGGTTTTCCCTGCACTTTTTTTCAGCCAATCGCTGGCCATGTTACAATGCGATACCCTGACCTATTGTTACATTCAATCTACTCAATTTAGCCTCATCTTCAATTTACGAGACCAAAAGTGTTTAAGTTCATAAATGCTTATAAGAAATATGCGTAAGGGTAGACCTGTCCGTATTAAAGGCACATGAAGTCTTAGACAAGAACAAAATTTTCTACAAATTCCATACAATATGATAAATAACTGCAACTGTACTAAGTGCCCAGAATGAACGGGAGTAATTTTTTGTGACTATAAACCTTTACCAAAATTAAAAAAAAAAACTTGCAGATAAATATTAAACATTTTTGGAGTATAACACGCTTTTAATCTTGAAAATGCTACTTTTTATCATATATTTTAACGTGTCTTATGACAATTTTTGACCAACTATTCATTGACCATACACCTGAAACATATTTTAATCCTTTTATTTTGTTTGGCAATAAGTACAGTTATACTGGCTTTCTGACATATCAATCCATATTTAGTACTACATACATGTATTTCAGTTGATAAGCATTAATCATGTTTTACATGTCAACCAATTATGAATCGTTATTAAATCTATATTGTCACTACAAGGAACGAAAACAAATATTCATTTCTATGATACCATAACCCTGGAAATTCAATAGTATTAAATATATTTCATAATTTGCTTACATTGTTGCGGAAATTGTATTTGCTCCATGTCAAGGCCATATTTTGTTTGTTTGATTAATTGGGTTTTATGTCACACCTCCACAGTATAGGTCATATGACCAAGATCGAAACTTGACTGGTGTCGAAAGACCTCGGGTGCCCTGCTGCACGAACGGGCACCTGAATAGAACTATCGACGTTGCGAAAGCTAGCTGGATAGCTTCCTCACATGAAAGAATCGAAAGTCCCTGTCGGAATTCGCACCCACAGCTTTGAGGAGCAAAAGGCAAAAAACTTTACCTCCCGGCGACGGACGCACCGCCAATACCATATAACAAAGCCAATAATTGTAAGAAATAATCACCATTCTTTTAATATTAATCATGTTTGCATGTTTGCATATGAGACTCAGCAATGACGATAACTTGCTTTAAATATACATTTCAGCTGCGGCAACTTTGACACCTGCTATCGGGAGTGGTTCTTAGGAAGCTCTAACCACAGTAAATGCCTTAATTTTGAGGACAACAACATTATCACCCTTGACTTTGATTGTACATATTGTTGTACTTCAGACAACTGCAATAAACCGATTAAGCCCTTGGACGAAGACCTATACAGGGATATATAATAAATATACAAATATGTACCGATAACTTCTTGTTGTTGTTATATATTTAACGAAC